CTTATACTGAATTTTGTAACTTGCTTAGCTAAATGAATTGTGGGGTTCAGTCCCTGAGCCCATTATGTGCCTCTGTAACCCTTTCCACTACCGCCCACAAGATGGGTATGGGGGGCATAATACATGAACTAAACTTAAACCTCCCAACTGATCAGAGAGCAAAAATAATTGATCAACTTTACCTACACAGGAACGACGATGCTCACACCTCCGCTGCTTCCTGACGACTGACGGGAACTTGCCAGATCCAAATTGCTGAAAGTAGCGACCTGACGGTCTAAAAGTAGCGAATTTGTAATAAGAGAAGCCAAATTTTTATTGTTTTTTTTGAAAATTTGAATGTGAAAAAATTTAAAAATTAAAAATTTTGAAAATTTGGGACTTGAACAGAGGTTCTTCCTCTGTTCAAAAAGTTCTAGGTTCTTTTAATTGCCTTATAAAATTTAACGAATAAAAAGGTTTTCGTGCCTTCACATCTTTATATTATGATAATCACGACATATCTGCATTAAAATCAGTGTGCAATTCCGGTCTCCACCGCCTTCTCACTTGTAACTCACTTGTAACACTTATATGCTGTGCTTCCTATTTTAACCTGCAATGTTAAATGGGATTCTTGTATTGTGATTTGTGTATTTGTACTCACTGAATTTGTGCGCCCCTTGAGGGACTTGAAGTAGAAGGGGGGGGGGGGGGGGATAGAAATAGCCTAAGCTACTCTATCCCTTTGAAATGTATTTATTTTTTTATCGTCTCAATAAACATACTTGAACTTGAAGTGGACTTTAATGTTTTTTCGGCACTTTATTTCCTTAGTTTCCGAGCTGTTTTCTTTACCGTGTATGTTGTAATAAACTATTCCTATATTTACAGTTGTTTCTCCCTGTGAAGATTATTAAACAATGGTGATTATAAGGGCGCGGAAGTTCAGCCTGGCCATCAGGGCCGCCAGCAGCCCTTGGGCCCGCCCCGGCAGCTCCCAGTCTTTAATTTGGCACCTTTGTGGCACCTTTGTGGGACCTTGGTATAAGTCTAATATGTATATATACACTGGCTGTCTGTCCCCCTACACAATGATTTATTATTACCTATTATTTTATCATTTAATTTAAATATTAAATAAAATAATACATTTAATTATTATAGTAAGTACTTAATAATTTAATAATAAGTAGTAAGTACATAAAAATGATTAAAAAGTACAGTTTAGTCATAAGAGATTCCTAGATTGGAATTCACTACCAAATTTCAATATATCCAAGTATTTTTAGTGTGAAATGCTGTTATTATATGCATAAATTGTTGTTTTAATAATATTACGCTTAACCACTTGGGCTGGACGGTAGAGCGACGGTCTCGTTTACTACAGGTCCGCGTTCAATCCCCGACCGCCCAAGAGGTTGGGCATCATTCCTTTCCCCGTTCCATCCCAAATCCGTATCCTGATCCCTTCTGAGTGCTATATAGTCGTAATGGCTTTGCGCTTTCACTTGATAGATCCCCCACCCCCCTGAATAATATTACGAGAGCCGTATTTACGGGCTATTCATGCCCGTGCCACCTCTTGGGTGGTTAATTTTTTTTTTTTTTTTTTTTTTTTTTTTTTTTTTTTTTTTTTTTTTTTTTTTTTTTTTTTTTTTTTTTTTTTTTTTTTTTTTTTTTTTTTTTTTTTAAATGTATACAAGAGTTGTTACATTCTTGTACAGCCACTAGTACGCGTAGCGTTTCGGGCAAGTCCTTAATCCTATGGTCCCTGGAATACGATCCCCTGCCGCGAAGAATCGTTTTTTCATCCAAGTACACATTTTACTGTTGCGTTAAACAGAGGCTACAGTTAAGGAATTGCGCCCAGTAAATCCTCCCCGGCCAGGATACGAACCCATGACATAGCGCTCGCGGAACGCCAGGCGAGTGTCTTACCACTGCACCACGGAGACCGTAAATCTTCATCAATCGAGAGCAGTACTTCCTAACCAGACATTATATGATATCCTAAACAGTTAATAAATAAAAGTAATTACGGAACTCTAGTTATCAAATACTTATCATAAATGGCATAAAACCTTATCATAAGCCAAGGGATTTGTAGATCAGTGTTTAAAGGGAATTCGGAAGTAATAATAATACAGCTGATGCCATCTGTCGGCAGAAGAGAACACTATCAACTGGCTGGTCAACAGTGGCCATAAGATACAGCTTACGCCATCTGTTGACATCAAATTACACTTATAACAAATTACCCTACAAAATACAACTAACGCCATCTAGTTTTTTTCCAACGCACTATAAATAGCCAAACAGCAACCCATAAGGCGGGTTGTTGTGCTCGGGTAGGAGGTTCCTAGTTCCGCCCACAGATGGTATGGGGTGCATAATAAATGGCATTTCATTGGTAGAGTCTCTTTGTTGACATTCACACAACAGCCAATCACAGGAAGGGATCAGCTAAAGGCTCCATCCACTTAATAAATCATCTTTATTCAGCACACCATCCTTGCTTATGACATTCTGCTTCAACTTTAATCTACCTAAAAAGTGAAATGTTAAGTATTTAAAAGTATTAATATAGTGATAATTAAATACTGTAGGATGTAACGAGTGTTACAGAAACATGGGCTGGCTACCTGACTTGTGACGTCATCAGTGGGAGTTGCCTCACACAAATAATATCGGCGATAAAATGCCTCCGTCCTCTTATTGGTCTACATTATTCAGTTAGATGGAAATGTCTGTCTTGTATAAAACAAAAATTGTTGTTATTTTGTACAACAACAAGGTTATTGAGCAAAAGGACGTATTTCTTATTTTGCATTTTACTCATATAAACGTTGACATTCACACAACAGCCAATCACAGGAAGGAATCAGATAAAGGCTCCATCCACTTAATAAATCATCTTTATTCGGCACACCATCCTTGCTTATGACATTCTGCCTCAACTTTAATCTACCTAAAAAGTGAAATGTTAAGTATTTAAAAGTATTAATATAGTGATAATTAAATATTGCAGAATGTAACGGGTGTTACAGAAACATGGGCTGGCTATCTAACTTGTGACGTTATTATTGGAGGTTGCCTTGACACAAATAATTATACGCTGCTCTGCCCTCTTATTCGAATAAATTATTCAGTTAGATGGAGATTTCTGTCAGGTGCAAAACAGAAATCGTTGTTCTTTTTCACAACAACCTTGTTGTTGTGCACAAGAACCTATTTCTTAGTTTAAATTTTATTCATAAAAGAGTGTTGGTATTCCCCGCAACAGCCAATCACAGGAAGGTATTTCTGGAAGCTCGGCCTCCTTATGGACTCAGCACATCGCTCTAGCTCATGGCTCTCTGTTTCATCTCTTGTATATACAAACTATGACTTTTTTCGATTACTGTTATAATTAATAATATGAGATATAAAAGTTTTTACACAAAATGGCAAAATTCTGCCATTAAATGGACTTTGTCTGGTACACATACAAACATACACCAATTTATTACCATTCATCCATTATTAATTTCGAATGTAATGTATACTGTCTAGTTTTTTTCCTCTCGCCATTACTTGGTGCAATATTTGAAAGTTGTCTATTTATTTATCGATCTATCTATTACCTTGTATTTATATTTACAAGTTTCTGTGCTTGGAAGAAAACTCTGCATTGAATTGGGACTAATTTATTAAATAATATGAATTAGTATTAATTAATATTTACAATTATTATTAATTACAGTTATTTATAGCTTAGTTACTGTCATGTAACTCGCAATCGTACAATCTTAACATTAATAGCCCAAATTAGCACATCTTGCTTTTAAATTAGCCCAAAAAAGTAGCAAGTAGCGATATTAAAAATTTGGGAGCGCAGGGCTCTCAAAAGTAGCCCAATTCGCTATTTGTAGCCCAATCTGGCATCACTGTCATGGGGTCGTCGTCGATGAACCGTAAGCGTCCAACCGACCCAGAGACCCTCTGCCTAAAATTTGTTGAACGCCATATTGAAATTTCTAGCGTATAGCGCCATGCAGGCAGCCCGTCCTCCAAAAATGGGGTGGTAAATGTAAGACGACAAATAAGTGCAATTATGTACTATTCATAGCAGTTAGGAATTGTACTTATTTTCACTTAGTATTAAATCGTACTGTCAAATATATTGTGAATATTTGAGTTTACCTGAGAAACTGAATAGAAAACCCCACTCACCTAACCGTCTTAGTTTTTGAAGATAATAATTTTATTGCTTCTTAATTACAATTAGTACTTAACCTATAGCTATAGTGATATTACAGTTTTATAAAACTAATAAAACAAAACTAAAATATATGAATAAATTGTAAAATAACTCAGGATATTTTAAAATTTTGTATAAAATCTATTTTGTTTAATAAACCAGAAAAAGACATTTCTGATATTTAAAACTTTGTACATTGTAAATTGAAATTAAAAACTTCATTCTAAAAATCTGAGTTTTTTTAATTCAAATCTTTGAACTTTTTCTAGTTTAGTCTTATCCTTGACTATATATGAACTCTATGCTGGGGCTGCTTACTCCAGGATTGGCCTGACATATGTGATATACAAAGTTCTGAATGATTGTTTACACGAGTTTCTGAATGCCGTTCGTATGTTGGCCAGCCTGGCATATGCCGCTTATGTTATCCTCTTGATTGTGTCAATAAATAAAGGAATCAATAGTTACTGTAGTTCATTTATTATACACTCCATACCTATCCTGTTGGCGGTAGTGGAAAAGGATACAAAGGCACATAATGGGCTCAGGGACTGAAGCCAAAAAATTATTTAGCTAAGCACATTAGTCATGATGAACTAGTTAAAAATTTAATGAATATCTTTGAAAGTTTCATTGACATCAGCAAAGACATTGCTGCAAATCACAATCTAGCTGGATAAAAGTCATGAGAAGAAGTGGGGGAAGATGGAGGGGGAGGCCTTTGACAAGCCGCCGGCCTGTTGTTGCCGTCGAGGCCACTAGAGAGCTGGTGGCCACCTCAGGTAAATACAGGTCAATAAAACTTGATTTTGGCGGGCCGGTCCAGCTGTTCGTGACGTCATCACCGCTCAGTGTAAAAATGGCTGCCACCATCCGAGCTCTGACCCGCATCACCGGTTAGTACACTCTGACCCTCGTAATTACTGCCTAATGCTGCACATTTATGCTTATTAATGCTATATAAATACTCGGTTGGTAAGGTGAGCGGACATACTTGCCGCTGGCATTATCCAGGACGCGGGGGTGTCTTGGTCCAAAGTATCGCCCTGTCAGCTGCTAATTGTATTTGTATATATATATATTTATTGTGTTTTTATACATCACCGGGATACAATTTGCGCATAGAGTTAAGTATATCCCGGTGTCTTGTATCGTTATATTATCTAATACTTCTCCTATGGGGACAATACAACGTGATCAATATATACGGTCGCCGGCGGCTGGGCCCCATAATGATTATATATAAGTAGTTTGTTGTCCAAATCAGTTCCTTTGAGAACACAATTTCAGTAAAGTTTATGCTCTAGCTTCACAATGAGATAGGTCAGATATGGTTGTAGGTGTGAAGTTCTTTCCAAGTGTGTTTGACAGGGTATAGGTCAAAGGGCGACTTAAGTTGACCCAGTAACCTGAATTGACCTCAAGGGGACAGTTAAACCGTACTCGGGTGTTTCAATCAATTTCTCTGACTGTTAAAACTATGTCTTGTTAGGGTAGGATGTATTAGGTTGGGTTTTGGATAATTTGGGTTGGGTACGGCTGGGTGGGTTTTAAAATCCGTTGACGAGCCATCTTGGGCACAATGTGCGCGTCATATCCTAGTAAGATGGTCATACTCTTGCGATCTTTGGAGACAATGAGGATATCTTCCAGGAAGTCGCTATGTACCCAAGACGATTCACCAGTCGATTAAAAAAAGTAACTTTACCCTACTCGACCCAACCTAAACCTTATTACTGAACACAGTCTAATGATATATAGTACAGTATGGGGCTTTAACATATAGAAAATAAGCTTTGTCAAAATGCTAGTTTACAGATTGGGATATGGACCAATTGCTTGGACATGTACAAAAGGTATAGTTGATTGATAGGCTCGGCCAGTCTCAAGTGTGTGGACACGAGTCTTGTTCAAGTACCAATGGACTGACTGGCCTCGAACTTGGATAACCACTTAAAAACAAAAAATATTAACCCGAGTTATAAATTAACTGATCTTAAAATTGTAATGGCTCGTGCTTATAATTAAATTATTGTGCTCGAGGACAGGCAACCAGTGTGTAAATATATATACATATTTTAGGCTTATATCAAGGTACCCCAAGGTCAAACTACTGACCCCTCAACCGAATGCAACTTTACAACAGTTGTCCTCGCCTAGTTGTGCTTGGGGCATTGAGCTTTAGCTCTTTGGTCCCATTGGTTTGGGTACTCTTTGATAGCTGGGAGTTAACTAACTTCCATGTACTGTACCTGTTTACTGCTAGGTGAACAGAAAATTAGGTGATAGGAAACACATCCAATCATTAGTCCCGCCTAAGATACGAACCCAGAATTCTCAAAATTTAAGTCGAGAACGAACCCAACTGTACCACGGTATCGTGAAGATTGTGGGTAACCCTACATCTGATGTTCCTTTCATTTAATGACTAGCAAGAATAACTTGGGTTTTGTATTTTTAAATTTATTGTATCATTGAAAATCCATTTAGAATGAGACATCAGGCCTATGTTAGATCTCGAGGGGAAACTGACATAAGGTATATACTGTTCAATGTTATAATGTCCACAGTCTCCGTGGTGTAGTGGTAAGACACTCGCCTGGCATTCCGCGAGCGCTATGTCATGGGTTCGTATCCTGGCCGGGGAGGATTTACTGGGCGCAATTCCTTAACTGTAGCCTCTGTTTAACGCAACAGTAAAATGTGTACTTGGATGAAAAAACGATTCTTCGCGGCGGGGATCGTATTCCAGGGACCTGCCCGAAACGCTACGCGTACTAGTGGCTGTACAAGAATGTAACAACTCTTGTATATATCTCAAAAAAAAAAAAGTTGACAGGTTGTGGAATTAAGAATATCTAGATACTGTATAGTATTTGCTACTATAGAAGCAAAAGTGCGTACAAGGTATTATTTAAGTTTCATTTTGGCAATATAGGCATTCAGGCAATTCAGGCAGTTACAACATTTTTAATAATATCAGATGTACTGTACTAACATGGTTTAAATGAAATTCCATTTATATATAGAGTAATAGTACATTATTTAAATCTAGTCTTCCATCTCTGTAATTTCCTGATTTTATTCTGGCATCATTTTTAATCATAAATATTCAAAGTTTTGCCAGAAACACTTTTGTATAGTAGTGACTCTGTTTTATGTGCAACCCCTATACCTACAATTATACCTCAATCTTATTCTTTGTATGCATATTATTATGAATAAAGTATTATTACTCTTATTACTAATGTATAACGCTATGTAAATAGTGTAATGCTTACATTAATTTTAAATCTGGGTTAGTTTATATATACTGTATACAGTACTTTCCTTCTGTTGTTTAGGTGTGACCCCAGTTGCTGCGAGGTCATGCTATGCAGTGACACGACCAAACTTAGCAGTAAATGAGCACACACGAGTAATCTGCCAGGGATTTACTGGCAAGCAGGGAACCTTCCACTCTCGCCAAGCAATTGAATATGGTACTCTGATGGTGGGCGGGGTGTCGCCAGGCAAAGGTGGCAAGAAACATCTCAATTTATCTGTGTTCAACTCCGTTGCTGAAGCCAAAGCCGCAACTGGTGAGTAATGTCATGTCAACGTGTTGTAGTTCTAATTTTTTTTTTTTTAAAGAACAGTGATGTGTGTGTGTTAGCCTAGCAACAGCCTTTTAGATTACGTTATTACAAGACAAGTGTGGCCCCAGGCCATGCTTGAGGGGTAGAGAAAACTCTAGTTTTCAGAAAAACTGGAAAATTTCATAGTTTTTTGTTTTCTTATAGTGCCTTGGAAAGGTGCCTGTTTTCTTATAATCCTTGGGAAAGATTTATCTCCTGATTTTATTTTTAAATTTTCCTTCGCAATCTTAATACTGTACTATACTGTGTTAGAAACAAACTTACTTTAAAAAGTTTTAATTTTGGTTTGCAGTTAGTTTTCACTTTCAATAGGTGTGAAATTAGAAGAGACGTAAAAGAAGGCACTTTTAGAAGTGGTTAATTGTATTAGAAATAATACAGTAAAAATGCACTTTATGAAAGTCAATGCAACAGTTATGTGATACTAAAAAAAGACCTGGCTGTTCATAGTTATAGTAATTAAATTATCATTTTCACCTTTAACCCTTTATCTGCATACTGTATTTACATTTTGTTATAATTAGAGATGTTTATACATTTTTTTAATTGTATGCATGGACAGATGCTGATGCCTCTGTGATCTATGTTCCTCCTCCTGGTGCTGCTAAAGCAATATTAGAAGCTATTGAAGCAGAGATTGGACTAATTGTATGCATCACAGAAGGCATTCCACAGCAGGATATGGTCAGAGTCAAACATGCTCTCCTCCGTCAAGATAAGAGTCGGCTCATTGGTCCCAATTGCCCGGGTATCATTGCTCCAGAAAAGGTAGGGTGTTCTTAATCTGTTTTTATCTGACACTGTGTATCTATTTAATTTCTATACTGTTATATTTTTTCTTCTATAATGGCAAGTTTAGTCTTTTTAGTTTGTGAGGTGTTACTTCCAGTGGAGGGGGGGGGGGGCATGCGGCTGAGTTGGCAGCGCTTGGGGGTCGTAGTCCTAAAGGCCCGGGTTTGATTCCCGGCAGAGTTTCCTTCACACTGATGCCCAGTTCACCTAGCAGTAAATAGGTACCTGGGAGTTAGATAGCTGCTATGGGCTGCTTCCTGGGAATGTGTGTGTGTGTTAGAGAGAAATGTATGTAGTAGATATAATAGAGGAAAAATGAATTAATTAGAAAGGCGGGGTCCAAGAGCTAATAGCTTGATTCTGCAGATACAAATAGTAAATACACACTGTATAGTATTATATGTATATGCAGTAATAATTTATTCTGCCTTGCTATTCTTTCTTTACTTATTTTTATAATAGAAATTCTAGTTTACTTAAAATATTTATTTTAATTCTAAAGTTTTTAACTTTTATTGTACAAGGTGTTTTGTCAAGTGATTATCCTGAAGTAATGCTCATGACTTTTTCCCCCATTCCACAGTGCAAGATTGGCATTATGCCGGGACACATTCACAAAAAGGGCTGTATCGGCATTGTGTCTCGGTCTGGAACCTTGACATATGAAGCAGTCCATCAAACAACACTTGTGGGCCTTGGCCAGACACTCTGTATTGGCATTGGTGGTGATCCCTTCAACGGCACAAATTTTATAGACTGTCTTGAAACCTTCCTTAGGGTTAGTAAATATATTATTTTTGTCTAGTATTAGTTTCCATAATGTTATAAATAGATATGATGGGACTGAATGTGAAAAGTAGGAGTCATTGCAGTGGTCCTTTTTTGACTATTCTGGGTGGTGCTCATCTAAATGCAACCCCCTCTTCCCCGTGCATCCATTGTTCCTCAGGTATCCATCGAGCCAGGCTCCCTTAATTTCTTCTCATATGAAAGTTCCCAACACCTAGGAACCCGTCTGGTCATCTACCTTGAATATTCACAAAAAGGTTAATGTCGGCTGTGTAATGTGGTGACCTGAATTGGTCAGTGTGGCATAAATGGGGCCCCTCACCAGGGCAAAATATAGTTAGAGAAGGATATTTGTGTACTGTATTGTTGACACTTTTGGTTATAAGCCCATGCATTTTACATACTTTGTTACGTGCACTGATTCACTTGCCTAGGTCTTGGGTCATTTCCAGTCATGGTCCCAACCTCCCCTCCCCCACCCCCTACAAGTCTGATTTGCAACTCAATTTGCCCAAATCTACATCATTTATTCAGTAGATGGTGCCAATTCCATTTTCTCCAATTTAAGACTTGTGGTCTTTATATTGAATTTCATCTGCTACTTTTTTTACCCAGTTCTGCAATGTGAAGAGTTCCACAATAATTCTTATTCGAGTTTTCTATTCTCACTCTTGTCATCTGGGAACTTTACTTGATTGTGTTACTCTTCAACCCACCATTTAAGTCATTGACATTTTATGAACAGCAAAGGTCCCAATACGGACCCTTGGGGCACACCAATGCAGAAGCCACATTTGGCCACTTTGACTTCACTGTTGTTGGTGCTAATACTCTGCTTCCTATCCTTCAACCAGGCTCTGGTCTAATTGAAAACTTAACTTATAATTCTGTGAGCCTCAATCTTCTTGATCAGTCTTTCATGGGGTAGTGTCAAAGGCCTTATTGTGGTCAAGATAATCATCATCATACTGTATGTAATGTAATTGTTGTTGCTGTCGACAACCTTGAATACACTTTTGTGGAAAGATAAATTTATGAGTATCACAAGAAACCGTGTTGTCTTTTATCAGGCCATATGAATCGGGGTTTTCATATTGAATTCGCTATTGCAGTACAGTCTCAAGGTACTTTTCCACTATTGATGTTGAGGGGCAGTATGAGGGGAGCCGGTCGGCCGAGTGGACAGCACACTGGACTTGTGATCCTGTGGTCCTGGGTTCGATCCCAGGCGCCGGCGAGAAACAATGGGCAGAGTTTCTTTCACCCTATGCCCCTGTTACCTAGCAGTAAAATAGGTACCTGGGTGTTAGTCAGCTGTCACGGGCTGCTTCCTGGGGGTGGAGGCCTGGTCGAGGACCGGGCCGCGGGGACACTAATAAGCCCCGAAATCATCTCAAGATAACCTCAAGATGATGTTTGGCTCGTCACACATTGCAGTAAGAGATCTGTCCTTCCATTTTGAGACCACAGGACATTTTTAAGTCCTGTGTTGACTTAATGAATAGTTATTAGTGGGTCACAGAGTTCCTTTTTGCACTTCTTACAAACATAACTTAACACTTTCTTGTCATGGTGATTAATTTGGTTTTAATTTTTCATTTAAATTGTCATCTTTGTTAACCTAAGTACTGAATAGTTTATCTTCATTGCCTTACCTGTATACTGTATTACTAATACGTTGGTAAGATTGGCTTGTGTCTTCACTGGTAACATTTAGGCAAAGTAGTTATTTAGCATATTGCCCATTTGTCTTATCATTTATTAGTTGGCCAGTTTTTTTTTTGTTTTCAGAGGGCCCATTTCCTTAATCACTTTGAGTCGGGGAAGAAAAGTGGCTGGTGCAACGAAAGCCCCGATTAGACAAAACAAGACTGGTGTAGATGTGGCCAGGGGTTTGTGTGAAAGAGTGGCTGTGTCTACCGTTAGGTATACCATGTATGGTTAGACAATTTGTGTGGCAAGAATATGAAAAATGAAGAGAGCAGTATGAAGGAATAATCTAAGAAGCAGTTATGATATTAGGAGAATAGATGGAGTAAGAAATGTAAATTTCGTGGAGAGATGTGGAGTGCAAAGTCGGAAAACTGCAAGGTTGAGATGAGCATGCCGTGTTTTGAGTGAATTTAAGGGCTGGGGGAGAAGATGGCAAGGAAAAAGGTAGGCAGACATGGTTAGTGTATTATTGTATGGCGGGAGGGAATTATCGGGGAAAAGCACCAAGTCATTATGACTATATAGCACTGGGAAGGGGTCAGGATAAGGATTTGGGATGGGACAAGGGGGAAAGGAATGGTGCTCAACCACTTGGACGATCGGGGATTGAACGCCAACCTGGATGAAGTGAGACCGTCGCTCTACCATCCAGTTGGGCATATTATTGTATGGAATAAATGTGAAAACTCTTAGGTGTGGTATGAACAAGGTTGGATTGAAGCAGTTTAATGAAGGGTATAAATGTCTGTGTATACAAATTAAAGAGTACTGTACACCTGGAGTACTGTATGGAGTGATGGAGGTTGCTGTGGGTGACAACTGTAAGATGGTGGTGCGTTGTTTTCTCAAATTTGATGGCTTCCCATCCCATGAAATGATTATGGATGTACGTAAACAAATGACAAAGGAACTGGCAGTCACTGCTCTCAAGATCTTTGAAATTTTCATGTTTTGTTTAAGTTATCATTACAGGTATTTTCCTTTTTTTTTTTTTTTTTTTTGATGGTAACTTTGGACATTTTATTGAATGTTTGGAAGGTGCCAAGATGCAAGAATGTATTGATTGTACAGTTATCTAGAAAGTGTCAACACCTGACTGAGTTGGGTGAGTAGGGGCCTGACAGCTGAGTGGACAGCGCTTCGGATTCGTATTCCTGAGGTTCTGGGTTCGATCCCTAGTGGAGGTGGAAACAAATGGGCAGAGTTTCTTTCACCTTGATGCACCTGTTCACCTAGCAGTAACTAGATACTTGGGAGTTGGACAGTTGCTACGGGCTGCTTCCTGGCGGGGAAGGGGGGGGGGGTAACAAAAGGAAGGCCTGGTCGAGGACCAGGCTGCGAGGACGCTAAGCTCCAAAATCATCTCAAGATAACCACAAGATAACCACAAACTATGAATAGTCACAAATCTGGTATATTGTATGGCATTACCAAACTGACTGCTTCTTGTTTCCACCCTCAGTTTTCCTCACCCTCCTGTTTTCTTGTTGTCTTGGAGCCGGTCGGCCGAGCGGACAGCACGCTGGACTTGTGATCCTGTGGTCCTGGGTTCGATTCCAGGCGCCGGCGAGAAACATTGGGCAGAGTTTCTTTCACCCTATGCCCCTGTTACCTAGCAGTAAAATAGGTACCTGGGTGTTAGTCAGCTGTCACGGGCTGCTTCCTGGGGGTGGAGGCCTGGTCGAGGACCGGGCCGCGGGGACACTAAAAAGCCCCGAAATCATCTCAAGATAACCTCAAGAAGATAACCCTCTCATAAAAAGCTTCCACCTGCTCATAAAAATAGTATAATAAAAAAAAATGGCTGGAAAGCATCATACAGTATTTTGATTGTTGTGTAATTAAAGAGTTCACTGTTTTCTTCATACTAAACTGTTCAGTATTACATGAAGTGAAGTTATGGTTACTTCTTGATTGTGGACTTAGCAGTGCTTTTGTGGATATTTGATTTTCAGGCTGTATACAGTATGGTCCTGGATTTCATAGTTTTTTATTCTTGTATTTCCAGTGTCCTGACACCAAGGGAATCATTCTCATTGGTGAGATTGGTGGCGGCGCCGAGGAAAAGGCTGCCGAGTACTTAAAGGAACACAATTCCGTAAGTTTTAATTGCATTGCACGAGGTCAGAGCTGGAGTTCAGATTTTGGTCAGATGCATCCATCAAGTGTGGTATCATCAGTATTATTCTAAATGCATTTTAAAGATTTTTTTGAAAGGGCACAACACGGGGAGAATGAATCGAGGCCGGGTGAAAGCCATTGAGCATGTTTATGTAAATTCAATGATTGGTGATGTTGACCAGACCACACACTAGAAATTGAAGGGACGACGACGTTTCGGTCCGTCCTGGACCATTCTCAAGTCGATTGTGATGAGGAGGTAGGGACAGGCAATAAATAGGCAAGAGAGAGCTGAGGAGGAAAGTCAGGTGTAGGGGATAGTAGTAATGTGAACTGCAGGAGGCCTATTGGCCCATACGAGGCAGCTCCTATTATAACCACTGAAGGAGATAGTAATAGGATTGGTTACCAATCAATGATTGGTTTTTATTTCTTGATGCCAACAACTCTCATTGCTACACAGTCACTTAATCTGAGTTGACCATGATTGACTGCAAAATAATCAAAATTAAATCCCATTGTGCAAAATCAGATGCTTTAGTATTTGTTTATATTTATTATTTTGTAAGTGTTTTATGTAATTCTATTACAATAACCAATTATCTTCCAGGGACCCGGTGCTAAACCTGTTGTATCATTTATTGCTGGCTTAACAGCACCCCCAGGTCGTCGTATGGGACATGCTGGTGCCATTATTTCTGGTGGCAAGGGCGGAGCTATTGATAAGATAAACGCCCTTGAAAAGGTCAGTTGCAGCCATTAAATATCATAACAAGCATTCTCATTACAGTTCTTTATTATAGTTTAGGTGCCAAAGCCAACTTTACTCCAGGACAGAATTTTCAGAGTTACCAGTATATTTACCCTTAACCACTGCACAGGTATTCTTGAGATGATTTTGGGGCTTTAGTGTCCCTGCGGCCTGGTCCTCGACCAGGCCTCCACCCCCAGGAAGCAGCCTGTGACAGCTGACTAACACCCAGGTACCTATTTTACTGCTAGGTAACAGGGGCATAGGGTGAAAGAAACTCTGCCCATTGTTTCTCGCCGGCGCCCGGGATTGAACCCAGGACCACAGGATCACAAGTCCAGCGTGCTGTCCGCTCGGCCGACCGGCTCCCAACACCAAACGACAAATACTGTTTTGAGAGTTGTCCATTTTTTTTTTTTTTAATTAGGCTATATTATAATGTTTTTTTTTTAATGTTTTCATCACTCTTTGTGTTATAAAATGAAAACAGTTGAGTTTGGAAACATTTTGACATTAACTTTACATGAACATTTATAAAAACAACAAAAATATGTCCTTAACAATTGCACTGTGAAGTTTTTGCCAAAAACAGGTGTACAGGGGTTAAAACATAAGCATGGTTACTTTTTAGTTTTAGTCTGCATACTAAAAAACTACCGGAAGTTTACAAAGCTATTTGGTCGGAAATACCAATAATGTAACTAATTTTCTACTTTGAGAAAAATAAAGTTAAAACCCAAATTTAAACATTAGTAGACCTAGTATAGCACATATATGTACAGTACTATAATAGACCTAAGGTAATATATGTTACGAAAGTCTGCATCAAACACATCTGACCAACCCAGGCCGAAGCCGCGTACACGACCTTGAGACTCTCGAGTCCATAATAAAGCTCCGACTTGCTGAAACATTGTCAAATCAAGGCTAGCCTTAAGTTTTCTTTGTCTTGCTGTCTTAACTGATTACATGATGTAAGAACTGGAAAATAAATTAATGGACTTAACCAAAGATGATGATTATTAAAGGTTAAGGAGCCAAGAGGTGGGATAAACATTAGATAATTTATTTAATTCCACAAGATGAGAAAAAGCTTTGAAAAAAAATCGGCTGCCAGATGACTGAAGACGGTAAGGAAGTTTGAGGCATAAATTAGGCAGGCAAAACTCAAGATAGGGTGTGACAGAATATAGGAAGGCTGTCGGTAAGGGTGTGACTGAATATAGGAAGGCTGTCGGTAAGGGTGTGACTGAATATAGGAAGGCTGTCGGTAAGGGTGTGACTGAATATAGGAAGGCTGTCGGTAAGGGTGTGACTGAATATAGGAAGGCTGTCGGTAAGGGTGTGACAGAATATAGGAAGGCTGTCGGTAAGGGTGTGACTGAATATAGGAAGGCTGTCGGTAAGGGTGTGACAGAATATAGGAAGGCTGTCGGTAAGGGTGTGACAGAATATAGGAAGGCTGTCGGTAAGGGTGTGACAGAATATAGGAAGGCTGTCAGTAAGGGTGTGACAGAATATAGGAAGGCTGTCGGTAAGGGTGTGACAGAATATAGGAAGGCTGTCGGTAAGGGTGTGACAGAATATAGGAAGGCTGTCAGTAAGGGTGTGACAGAATATAGGAAGGCTGTCGGTAAGGGTGTGACAGAATATAGGAAGGCTGTCAGTAAGGGTGTGACAGAATATAGGAAGGCTGTCGGTAAGGGTGTGACAATATAGGAAGGCTGTCGGTAAGGGTGTGACAGAATATAGGAAGGCTGTCGGTAAGGGTGTGACAGAATATAGGAAGGCTGTCGGTAAGGGTGTGACAGAATATAGGAAGGCTGTCGGTAAGGGAATGATGCAGGCAAATGGTGATGGTTATTAAACAGGATTTTGTCACTATTTATTGCTGTTCATACTATATATTTATTTTTCTTTTGCTCTCCTTTTTATCTTTAAATTTGTATTCTAAAGTTACGTACTGTACTATATATTCTGTAGTTTCAATACTTTTCGGAAAAATTTCATGTGCTTTTTTTTGTTTTTTAATTACACCAATTAACATGCTTTTGTGTGGTTGCAGGCTGGCGTTATTGTGTCGAGGAGTCCAGCACAAATGGGTAACCTGTTAATGGAAGAGATGAAACGATTAGGGTTAACTGCTTAAGAAGCAAGCGATGACATTGAACTGTAGCTGAACCTGCTTCATCAGCTGTATACCTATCCTCATATGTATGTCTTGTTAATGTTGCAAATTGCTCGACAATTATGGTAGAAATTGAAATGCCGAGACTTTGATTGCTCCGTGGGCAAATTCTTCATTATATTTCTTGTGGTCAAGAATTTTGGCAGTCTCCTGGGGTTAGTTAGTTGTTTGTCAGGACGATGTGTCCAAAAGTCGGAAGTTTTGCTCAGACTAACCAGTGTAAATTAACTATAAAACCACTAACAAGAATGGTACTGTGTATAGTCTTTTTTTTGTATGTTAAACTTGAAAAATATTAGGTTTTTGTATATTTAATGCAGTACAATGCAATTAGATTTGATTTATATGTTAAGCAGAAGTTATTTGTTAATGTGCAGCCCCATGAAGATTAAATAATCGTGGAGTACTGTTAGTTATGTATTTAGATTTGTACACAATTTTCAAAATGATCAAATTTGCACTGTTAATTCCATATACAGAATAGCTACCTATCATTACAAGATATGTAAATATGTCTGAAAGAGTTTTATTGAGAACTGTACTTCATTCTTCTATAAATACAGGTAGTTTAAGAAATAAAGTACATGTTCTTATGATGACTTTTCCACTCAACATAATTTAGTGCTCATACACCTTCCCCACCCCTCCACCATGGCCACTGGCTTGTTTTGATGAAGGCGGCGTTAGCCCTTCATAAAATAAAGGAGGCATTTGCAATTATTATTGATGATAATGACAGAGATAAAGATCATGAACGAGTTTCAGTTATCGGTTTCAGGATTTAGTGACCAGGATTCTGATGCTAATAGAAGTATTTTAGCTGAAGTTGGCAAGGCTCATGGTATATTGAGCAGGACAATGGTTTAACAGGTGCCAATGGTAACAGGTAAGCATGTGCAACCATGCTATTAGTGGACCACTAGCTAGAAGCTTATCACACCTGTCAGAATGGCTTAATGGCTTGCAATGGTTATTAATGGTATTTAATTGCTTTGATTGAATTGTACATTGAAGTGCTATATAGACATTCTGACTTAGTGCTTTACCATGATAAATATTTAATCATTATACAGCTCTTCTGGCAGTTGATTTGTGTAAATGCTTCCCCATTGCCAAATGCAACCCAACCTTTACCACCACTATCCTCCTCCTCGTTGCAGTAGTGGCTCTAATCATATACACAAGCTGGCTGAGATCAATAACAGATCAGGGAGGCATACCAGAGAGTCGGGAATGATTTTCTCGAAGAGTAAGCAGGGTAACAGAAAGGTACAGTAGCTTGAAAATGACATTATAGATAAAAGTAAAAGGACCAAGCTGAAATTGCTTCACAATTGCATCAAGAGGAAAACATGTGAGGTATTAGGACAGAAAAGCACTCTTTAATAATGTTGGAGAAGTGTGAGAGGAACTCTACTGGAGATTCCAGACAGTCTTCACAATAGAGCAAATTAAAGTCCTGAGCAGATGAGGATAGTATCAAACCAAGCAGCACTGGAGGATGTACAGTTAACTAGTAAAGATATAAGCAGGCACTTGCTGGATGTGGGCATGTCTAAGGTGGTGGGACCAGATATGGTCTTCATGATCACTTAAGAGGAGGAGCAGAAACCTATTTCTGACAACTTACTGTGATACAGTATATAACAAGTCATTGAGGACAGAAAGCAACTGAGTATACTGGCACCGAGTGTGTCAGTGTGTTATTTCACCGAGACGAGAAAGCAACTCGAGATGGAAAAAGTCTATGTAGAGCCAGCATGCAAACAGAAACTACAGGTCAGCCAGTATCTCTTATGTAGTTGCATTTCATGCAAGATAATGGAAAAACATAAGAGGCTACCAAACATCTTTAAAATTTTTGTGCTAATCTTGTCTAATGTTACCAATTTATTTCACTTACATTGCACACAGCCATACAATTTTTTTATGCTTTTTGTTGCCTGGCCAGTTAGGATATGTCCCAAGTCTAATCCACCCCACCCATATAATGCAGGGGAATGCAAGGTTGATTGGATCGCATTGGAATGGCCTAGTAAAACACTTGAGACAATTTAGAAGATTCAGAGATTTTCCACAAGACTGATTCTAGAAATACAAGATTTGAGATAAGAAGATAGGTTAGAGAATAGAATCTACAAACACTGGTGGAAAGAAGATTTTCAATAGACATTGTCAAAATGCTCTTGTTATTGAGAAATGTAGACTAGGGAAGGGAACTATCAAAAGAAATTGCCAAGCTATTATGACTAACAATTGGAAGGCATAAGGATAAGAATTTGGGATGGGACGGGAGGAAGAAATAGTGCCCAACCACTTGGACGGTCAACCAAGTAGACAAGGATGGACTGTTCAATATTAGTTGCCAAATTAGAAATACAGGTGGAATCAATAAAGAGATAAGTCGCAGGGATGCAGATTCATCGTGAGTTGTGAAAAAGTGGAAAGAACTAAAAAAGGTGATTGAGACTAATTCATACTATAGTTTTACAGGTAGATACAACAGTCATAGGAATTGCGAGTAATGTTGCATTAGATACCCAAGAGTGAAAAGACCAGCTTGACCGTTAATCCTTCCTATCTATAAGATGATGATGATAAGAATGCCTGACCCCATACATATCTCCAAATGTGTACATACCCACTTCCACAGCATCCATAAACCACTAATCTATGCACACCATTTTCACTACCCAGCTATTTATACCCGTCATTTATGCACACCATCTTTTTTCATTCTTTTTTTCTGTATGTCCACATTGTACAATACAGGCACATTACATGAAAAGGAAGGGGGGGGGTTGTGGGTATATATTTCTAATACTGTACAGTACTGTGTTCCTATTTCATATTTATATAATGAGGTGTAATAGCACATATTGAATATACTGTAGCTCTATATTATGTATAAGAGGGAACATTTATAATGTTTAAGGATATATCATATTCCAGTATTTGTATTATGCACATGATACAAATACAAATAGCTTGCCAACTAAATTGGTCATAAATGGGGGTCCATTTTATTAAGTAATGTTTTAAGTGTGTGTATAAATGTAAACAAGGGAGTACCGTACATCAACGAAGTAATGTTGCAAGGGACAACAAGCTATGAAGTAATTCTTGCCTTACTATCTGTGTACATATACTGTATCTTAGATGCTTCATTATGTGAAATTGTTACATTCATTTCTCATGTCACAGGTCACAGCTCATGTCATCTTTCCACCAATAATTTTTTTTATAAAATTACAACAGCCAGGAAATGACACGCCTAACAAATATGACAGAGAGAATTCAGTAGGTTATCTTATCAGAAGACATAGCTTATCTTGTTATCTTGAAAGAAACTTTTATCTGCCTGTTATATGCTGCCTTACCACGCAGTGCAGATCAGGGCTTGGGTTATTACCACTACTACTGTTCCTTGTAGTAATGATTACTTACATACGGGATTATCTGATCCCTTGATAATTTTATGCATGGTAGGATTCAATGGGAAATGGATGTCTAGTACAGTATATTGAATCCCTTGATAATGATATGTACAGTAGGATTGAATGGTAAATGGATGTATTCAGTATCTGATTCTTTGATATGTATGGTAGAATTGAATGGTAAACGGATGTATAGTATAACACGTGGGCATTAGCATCTTACAAAGATATAAAGAGGTGAAATATTAAAGCTAAAATGAGAATAAGAATTGTCTGCTGAGAACTAAAGTGAGACGAAATGATTGATGGGATGAGGAATTGGCAATAACAGTTGATGGTAAGAACAAAAAGGGGGCTCTGTGGATACAATTTGAAAGGGAAAGAAAGAAAATAAAAAGGTAGTATGGGAAGAGTTAAAGGATTGTCAAGACTAGTTAAGTGAAGCAGAGTGAACAAGGAGTTTGACTAAAAATCATGACTACTACAGAATCCATTGAGCTAATTTAATACAACACTTCACTATTTATATCTATTTTACACACACAATTTCCTTCTCTTTCCAGCATCATAACTTTACCTAAGTCCACATTCATTCTAACAGTCTTCTTTTGCACACACAAAAACATAATTTGTCTACATCAATCTCTCATCATACTGTATTAAAGCACCTGTAGAGCATCTGCATACATCTAACTACTGTATTTACCTAGTTGTGCTTGCAGGGGTTGAGCTCTGCTCTTTTTGGCCCGCCTCTCAATTGTCAATCAATCAACTTTTTTTTAGGGGGGAGGGGGCAGATTAGTACTACAATGCAGTGCTAATTCCGACCTTATGCACTTCCTAGAGGGCTGTAATAGAACCCATGGGTACCACACCAGAAACAAATATAAATTTGATATTCAGAGAGTGCGACTGAAGCAGAAATGCTTTGCAAATCAAGGGTCCCAAAATGTGGAATGACCCCAATCACGACAAAGACTGTCCTCCCCTCGGCCAGTTTAGTTGAGAGCGACAGTCTTTACTAGTTAAGTCCTTTACCGAATCAGTAAAGCTGATGATATCTGCCGGGTAAAAAATATGTATTCCTTCTATTTAATTAGTGAAAATTACCTTCTGTTGCCCAACCACTTGCGCTGGACGGTAGAGCGACGGTCTCACTTCATGCAGGTTGGCGTTCAATCCCCGACCGTCCAAGTGGTTGGGGCACTATTCCTTCCCCCCTGTCCCATCCCGAATCCTTATCCTGACCCCTCCCCCCCCTCCTTCCAAGTGCTATATAGTCGTAATGGCTTGGCGCTTTCCTCTGATAGTTACCCTCCCTCCACTTTAGTTCATTTTTGCGTTTGATCAAAATAAAAAAAAAATCCACATCATGCCTGAAAAACGCTGTGGATATTAATGGCTTTAGGATAGTACTTCCCCTTTCCTAGAAATCCAACGTTTTTGTACACAATTTTGCATGTATGTACTCTTGCCTTAATACAAATTATTATTATTATTATTATTTTATAGTATGGGTCTATGTTGAAGGAGGAAGGTCAGAATGCGTTGTTACAGGTTTCTTGTCCTCAACAAGGGGAATTATAATTTATTTGTCGACATAAGAATTTTCACATATTCTTTTCTGCTGCTCTTCTTATCAGAATTTATATATAGACTTGTGTAGGCCTATTATGCATATCATGTGTGGTTATCGAAGTTTACATCCTGAAGAAGGTATTGTTGTAGTGGACATGTTGTTATGGCTATATCAGCTTTATCGCAATTGACATCACCTATCAGCTAGCTGGCTGATAAAGAGAGTTGTACAGTCGTTTGAGTGATTGAAGCACTCAGTCAGGTAGATGTTGGAGGTAGGCTGCATGAACAGTCCTTGGAAAGGATAACAAGGGCTATACGTGACATTCTTAGTGTTAAGAGTAGTCTAGATCAAGTGTACTGTGAGGTGTAGAGTGGTGTGAAGTGGAGTGTGGAGGAGCATGGAGACACTGGTGAAGGCGCTGCTGGTGGTGGCGGCGGCTGTGGGGACCGGACAGGCGGCCGACATCAGCGTCGTCGACGGTGCCTACACAGGGCTGGTGGTGGCCCTTAGGGACGACTTGTACCCCACCCAGTGTTCGCTCTACATACAGCATATCCAAGTAAGTCACCACCCTGCCTAATTAATGCCTTATAAACAAGGGAATGTCGCCTTTGTTGTTTAGAACTTTCACGTGGGATCGTCAGCCTGGATGGAAATGCACTCCATAATACATCGCCTTAGTATAATCATACCGTTAACGAGGCAATTGTGCCGATATATGCAGGTAGAAGCAGATAATTTAGTGCTGAATTTAAAGGCTGTTACAGTGGATTACTGTATTTCTGTTTCTGCTTGAAACGATATGCGTGCTAATGGCTTTCCACACGAATGTAAGAACTCTTGTATATATAAATAAAAATAGTTCACCTCTAACGTAATAGGCTACTCCGTTAGAATTCAGAGGCACTACAGCCTACTCATATCCTCATGCTTGTCAAGTGGACGGTGGCGCAGCTTCCAGGCACGCCAAGTATAGGCCTACACACCACGGCCGTCATGTCAGGAGTGTCACGTAGGCTTCTTCAGTGTAGAACAATTATAATAATTATGTTGTCTACAAGCAAAACGGCTGGTGCGTTCTCAAATCTGTCGGGTATCCCGGGACAGAAATGGTTGGGCACATTTCCTTACACATAATGCCGCTGTTTACGTAGATAACACTGGACAATGTTAGAAAGGCGGGATTCAAGTACAGTTAACGGAAAAGACGCGTGTTCAAGGCCTTTCATGAAGTTGACCGTTTTGATGATGGTTGGTAGGTCAAATCAAATCAAATTAAATGTTTATTCGGGTAAAAATCAAATGTTTATTCATGTAAGTGAGCATTCGGGGGCTCGGAAAACTGAAATTCGACACGATGACTGCACCAGACGTCGCATCAATTTGGGATATTGCAGAAGATACTGACGATAGTATAGGGATCCATTGGTCAAAATCGCGTTATGTATTCCAGCGGTCGTCAACGGACCGGTGGGCAGAACAGGAGCCAGATTCACGAAAGCACTTACGCAAGCACTTACGAACCTGTACATCTTTTCTCAATCTTTGGCGGCTTTGTTTCCAATTATTAAACAGTTTATGAGCTCCGAAGCACCAGGAGGCTGTTTATAACAATAACAACAGTTGAATGGAAAGTTTTCATGCTTGTAAACTGTTTAATAAATGTAACCAAAGCCGTCAAAGATTGAGGAAAGATGTACATGTTCGTAAGTGCTTTCGTGAATCTGGCCCCAGATATCTGCACACCATAGCCTGTGAGAGGCAGCGCAAGCAAAATAAATTTAGAGAGAGCACAAGGCAACCCGTCCTCTTACAAATTATGTCGCTTTTCGCTCGTATGCGCACTCAGGCTAAAAGTGGACGTAATTCAAATTGAAATCGGCTCACGAAAGTGACGTACCGTCTCGTTTTCTGTTTTGGGTTCTCTGGCTTAGGCTGTTAGGTTAGGAGAGGACACACTCAATTAACGATTTTCATGACGTTTTGAAACCTTAGAAGAAATTCCTGACCTCCTAACTTACCAGAGGACCCTTCAACTTGTTATTTTTTGGAAAAAAAAATCCAAAATTTATTTTAAATTATTTTTCATTTTCAAATTACGGCCTTTTTTGGCCGTAGCGCATACAATGAAAAGCGACGTAATTTGTAAGAGGACAAGTCTTAATAAGACCTTGGCGGAAATGTTTAAATCATTAGTTATAATCACTCTACACACATTATAATTACATTGACAGCTGGTAATAGGCTTCTTTCATCCAACTTCTATGTGCTCACCTAGTTGTGCTTGCGGGGGTTGAGTTTTGGCTTTTTGGTCCTGCCTCTCAACTGTCAAAGTTAACTGTATTAAGAAAAATCATTATACAGTGCCATTGCCACCTTCCCTATCCTTCAGCACCCTCTCAAGCCTTTAACCACCTTCCCCTACCCTTCACCACCTTCCTTACTATTTACTCATCTTTACAGTACTTCAATTCACTATCTTTGCTCCGATTCACTACCCTTCCTATCATTCAACTTCCCTAACCTTTACTGATTGATTGAAGAAGATTAAGCCATCCAAAAGGTGGCACGGGCATGAATAGCCCGCAAGTGGTGGCCCTTTTGAGCCATCACCAGTATCAATAGATGATACTGGAGATCTGTGGAGGTGCAACTGCACCCTGCGTGACGGGAGATGTCTCCTTTGAACCTTTACTATCTTCTCTACTCCACCACTTCCCCTTCATCCCAGTAATCTTAGTGAGGATGGAGTCTTTTAGATAGTGAAATTGGAAATTAGTATGATTTGCCATTTTATAGAAAGGGGAAGAGGGAGCAAAGAACTCCATACCATCTCCAGACAAAGACCAGTCATCTTGCAAGAGTTTGGTGAAGCTAGCCATAAGCGTCTGGCCCTCAACCCGAATCAGAAAAACAGACATTTTCTTATATAGATGTAGAATTATGGCGTCACATCCCCGCATAAGGTTCAGTACGAGTATCATCTACGGGCTCACCATAGCCCGTGTTACTTTGAACTTTTTGTTCCAGGTAGCGAATCTTTAACAACAACAACAGTAAGAGTATAGTTTCTGTTTTTTGTTTACTTTTTCAGAGCATGATTAGCAGTGCTTCTGCAGTACTTTATAACGTGACAAACAACACGCTCTCCTTTGGCGAGGTGACCATTCTGGTTCCTGCGGCTGCTAGCAGTTGGCCATGTCTTGATTTAGACATTGTAGAAAACACCCGCAGACTAGGGTGGACTGATGCGCACTGGAGGGTGGGGCCATCACACCCACTCTTCCTGGACAACCCCTGGACTCAACAACCCCGCGGCTGTGGAGAACCTGGAGATTTTACCTACCTCTCTGAAAACTTCCTGTCTTCGAATTCTGATTCGGTGTCTCAAGGTTTGTGGCTCTTCCGTTTCCTTCGTAATGTTATCGCAAACTGAGGATATTGTATTCACCTAGTTGTGCTTGGGTTGAGCTCTGGCTCTTTCGGTCCGCCTCTCAACTGTCAATCATTTTTTGTTTCACACACACACAGGAAGCAGCCCGTAGCAGCTGTTTTACTCCCAGGTACCTATTTACTGCTAGGTGAATAGAGGGACATCAGGGTGAAAGAAACTCTGCCCATTTGTTTCCGCCATCGCCGGGGATCGATCCCCGGTCCCTAGGACTACGAGTGCCGAGCGCTGTCCACTCAGCCACCAGGCCCTTTATGCATTGCACACCTCATACTCATCCTGTGAGCGGTAGTTTATTGTGCACCCCATACTCATCCTGTGAGTGGTAGTTTATTGTGCACCCCATACTCATCCTGTGAGTGGTAGTTCATTGTGCACCCCATACTCATCCTGTGAGTGGTAGTTTATTGTGCACCCCATACTTATCCTGTGAGTGATAGTTTATTGTGCACCCCATACTTATCCTGTGAGTGATAGTTTATTGTGCACCCCATACTCATCCTGTGAGTGGTAGTTTATTGTGCACCCCATACTCATCCTATGAGTGGTAGTTAATTGTGCACCCCATACTCATCCTGTGAGTGATAGTTTATTGTGCACCTCATACTCATCCTGTGAGTGGTAGTTTATTGTGCACCCCATACTCATCCTGTGAGCGGTAGTTTATTGTGCACCTCATACTCATCCTGTGAGTGGTAGTTTATTGTGCACCCCATACTCATCCTGTGAGTGATAGTTTATTGTGCACCCCATACTCATCCTGTGAGTGGTAGTTTATTGTGCACCCCATACTCATCCTGTGAGCGGTAGTTTATTGTGCACCCCATACTCATCCTGTGAGTGGTAGTTTATTGTGCACCCCATACTCATCCTGTGAGCGGTAGTTTATTGTGCACCCCATACTCATCCTGTGAGTGGTAGTTCATTGTGCACCCCATACTCATCCTGTGAGCGGTAGTTTATTGTGCACCCCATACTCATCCTGTGAGTGGTAGTTTATTGTGCACCCCATACTCATCCTGTGAGCGGTAGTTTATTGTGCACCCCATACTCATCCTGTGAGTGGTAGTTCATTGTGCACCCCATACTCATCCTGTGAGCGGTAGTTTATTGTGCACCCCATACTCATCCTGTGAGCGGTAGTTTATTGTGCACCCCATACTCATCCTGTGAGTGGTAGTTCATTGTGCACCCCATACTCATCCTGTGAGTGGTAGTTCATTGTGCACCCCATACTCATCCTGTGAGCGGTAGTTCATTGTGCGCCCCATACTCATCCTGTGAGCGGTAGTATATTGTCAAATAGCTAAAAAGAACACAATATAGAGTAGTATACCATCAAAATAAGCGGGTGACAAAAATTCACGTTTTCTATGCATCGGTAGATTAGGCTAAATGCAGGGTTGCATGGGTTCATACGTGTCTGTATAGTTAGGTTAGTACTTTGTATTTTGTACGTTGTGGCACATCAAGAGGAGGAGGAGGACGCTTCTCTGGTTAAAGTTTCCGGCCAGAATATAGGAACATAGAGTGGAAACGGTTGGGCAACCACAGGGTATTGTAACTCACAATATTAGCAACACATATAATGTATAATTCTGGTAATTTTGTAACTTGCTTAGCTAAATGAATTGTGGGGTTCAGTCCCTGAGCCCATTATGTGCCTCTGTAACCCTTTCCACTACCGCCCACAAGATGGGTATGGGGGGCATAATGAATGAACTAAACTTAAACTAACCTTTGATTGGTAATTAAATAGTCTGACCGGTAAAATACAGTACTGTGCTTATTATATGTAATTAAATAGTTATCAGTAGTCACTTATATTCACTTAAATGTAATCTGTATGGTGGAAGACAGAGGCTATCTCTTTTAAACCTACCTTATTTTGGGGTTCTAAATTTATAACTGGCCATCAACGTGGAGAAATTAGATTTTAATCCACATTACTTTTTTAAAATATCTGGCAAGACTTACACAAACGGTTTCAGAAACACAACAAAGTCTTAGTGATAGACAGGCAAAAAGGAGATGGTTTTCACCCATTGGGAAAGCCACTTGAGATGCCTTGTGGGAGGTTACAAAGAAAAAAATAATTCATACATACAAAAATAATTCATGCTTGTATCGAGGGGCTCCCCCCCCCCCCAAGGTCGAATTACTGACCTCCCGCCCAGGATGCAACTCATTCCTGAGTACTACTTACTGCAAGGTGAACAGGTGCATTAGGTAAAAGGAGATGTGCCCAACTATTTCGGTCCCGCCTGGGATTCGAACCCAGAATTCTGGATAGTGCGTCGAGAACGAACCCGGCTGTCTCGCGTCCATTGATGCTGTAACGTTGTGTGTTGAATTTCGTGACTAATTTTGTAAGCTCATCAAGATTGTAACTTGCTTAGCTAAATGATTTGTTGGGGTTCAGTTCCTGAGCCCATTATGTGCCTCTGTAGCCCTTTCCACTACCGCCCACAGGACGGGTATGGGGGGCATAATACATGTACTAAACTAAAACACAACCGGGACAAGCCTCATGTAAATAAATAAATCTATTATAGAGTCTTATACACAGTATTCATTGTAACCATTCATTGCACTGCAACCATTCATTGCAACTTTTCCGCAGGTAAATTATTGATTCACGAGTGGGCCAAATTTAGATGGGGAGTGTTTGAAGAATATGGCCACCTGCATGATCCCATCTTCCCTTCGGCATACCGTGCACAGACCAGTTCTTTTGCCCCCAACTACTGCAGTAATAACGAAGTCTCGGGCTCTTTCAGGTTAGTAGTTATCGAAGCATAGTTTGCAGGACTAGGCTTCAGCTTCTGGGGCCCGCCTTCCCGGCTGTCGGTCACGGGGACTATTGTGTGTTTATCAATTCTTTCATACTTTATTCCTGGTAGTGTATCAAACTCCCACAAATACAGTACCATTCTTGTGCTTTATCAATTCTTTGACTTCAATTCTAAGGCAGTTACACTTCCCGTTTCACTTGGTTTAGTTGGCAGTTTCACGTTTCACTTTTTGAATGTATGTCCTGTATTTGGAGTAGAAATTGAAGGGAACATAAAATAAGTATATAGTACAAAGAGAAATCACATTATTGTGATGTATCGATGAGAAAATCCACAGGAGCCGTGATGAGGATTCGAACCTTTGTGCTGGGTATTCGCAGATGCACGAGCTAAACGACTACGCCACGACATGGAAGCCTCGGGGATCTTCGAAGGTGCAGTAGCACCCCAGGTTGCAATTCTTTTACCATGTTGTGGTGTAGTCATTTAGAGTGTGCATCTGGGAATTCCCAGTGCACAGGTTCGAATCTTCATCACGGCTCCTGTGGATTTTCTTATAAGTGTTCTGATGGAACTTAGCCCTGTTGTAAATTGAGAACCACTTTTACTCTAGTTGTGGCAGGAGTATTTAGTAAGTGTTCAGACATGTCATTAGTAGAGGGCTGGAAAAATGGGACTTAAAATGGTCTCTGCAATGTATCCCTATTTTTACTGTATTTTTACTATATATTTTCCATATTTATTTTTACCATATACCTGTACTGTAATAGGGTATGCACTGCTTAAGTTTCTGAGAACAAGAGATATGAAAGTATCAATGTAAATGAGAAAGAGATACAACTAGTGTAGTAATAAATATATTTTATACACGATTCCAGTGCACATTTTATGCACAGGCATTAATATTTGTTATAATGTCCTCGATAATGGGAAACTAAAGCAAAATGTATATGTTGCATTAGTATATTAGAAGACTGAGTTCAATATGTATTCCACCAACAGTGATCAGTGTGTGCAGAATGGTAAAGAAGAGGACTGCAACTTCACACCTGACTTGGCGTCTGATAGTAATGTTAACATTGAGTCGTCTCTCCTCGCAGCACCTTTCCTCGGCACAGTAAGTCTCCTTCATCATTAGTAAGGCTAAACTATGTGATTTTTATGATAAAGTAAAATGATGACATTGAGGTCTGGGAGTGTCAAGATAAATCACCTGTGCTAAGAGGGATCATCATGGAGAAGGCCATAAGCAATTTTATGAGCAAATGAACATTATAAATGTTGTATTAGACTACGATATTAGAATTGTTATAATCAGCTGGGAAAGAGAGGCTCTTGATGCAGATGGTGAGAAGGAATAATGACAATAATATTTATTTACAAGAAGGTACAATTTGTATGTGAGATTACATAAGATTGGTATTTTTACATTCTTGCAAAGCCACTAACGTGCATAGAGTTTTGGGCAGGTCCTTAATCTAACCTATCAGGTAAGGTGAAAAGGTACATTGTAGCAAAATTTATATCAACATATAACTACAATATAAATTGACAATTTAATGCGAGACACACACACACCTGCATTCCTTTCTATGGAAAAAGGATAGTTGTGTCAATCAAGTGTACAGTAATGCAGATAAGACTGTTAAAGTTTATCAACCAAATGCATATTGTATAGTAATACAGATGAAATGAGTAAGTCTGTCAGATGAGTAAATTCTAGTACTGTAGATGATTTCCCCCATCAACTTTGGCTCGATGACAAATGTGATGCTTTAGTTGGATGAAAATAGAATAAAGATAGGGTTAATTGTACTGTGCCTGAGGTAAAGGTGTACAGTACAGTACTTCAAAACACTTTGGTTACCAAACAGTATCGAGGTTGTGTTAGTGCTGGATAATAACCCATCCCGTCCACCAGTTTCTCGACCGTCAAAATTGCTTGTCTTCCAAGGCCACTTCCATGTTTTAAGTCATGGCTCAGGGTGATATTAAGAAAATCAAGCACAGAGAATGCCACAATAATATGACACTTTCACAATATCGAGGCACTCCCTTCTTTGCTAGACAGGCGCTCCTGCCTGTGTTATAGATGAGCTCCTTCCTATGGTAGAGATGAGCTCCTTCCTATGGTAGAGATGAGCTCCTTCCTATGGTAGAGATGAGCTCCTTCCTATGGTAGAGATGAGCTCCTTCCTATGGTAGAGATGAGCTTCTTCCTATGGTAGAGATGAGCTCCTTCCTATGGTAGAGATGAGCTCCTTCCTATGGTAGAGATGAGCTCCTTCCTATGGTAGAGATGAGCTCCTTCCTATGGTAGAGATGAGCTCCTTCCTATGGTAGAGATGAGCTCCTTCCTATGGTAGAGATGAGCTCCTGCCTGTGTTATAGATGAGCTCCTTCCTATGGTAGAGATGAGCTCCTTCCTATGGTAGAGATGAGCTCCTTCCTATGGTAGAGATGAGCTCCTTCCTATGGTAGAGATGAGCTCCTGCCTGTGTTATAGATGAGCTCCTTCCTATGGTAGAGATGAGCTCCTTCCTATGGTAGAGATGAGCACCTTCCTATGGTAGAGATGAGCTCCTTCAAATGGTAGAGATGAGCTTCTTTCTGTGTTAGAGAGAAGCTCCTTGCTTATGTTAAGGAAGTAATGTTCCCGACATTAAACATCGATTGATATCTGGCAATATTGAAGAGGCCCTAAATGGCTATAGTGATACATTTGTTTATACTGCAAATAGCATAACTTATGTAAAGATAATAAATATTTACATGCACATATAACCAGAACATGAAAGCCAGAAGTATGAGGAAGAAACTGGAAAAAATGCAAATATGGCCATGGGGCAGATGATCAAACCTATAGCACCATACTCTCTTTTGTGGCGACCAGAATTGAGTATAGCCCATTATATATGGCTTTCAATACTATTTCAAAAGAGAGTAACAAGTCACACAGAAAGTGTTATTCAGGGGTATTAGAACAACTTGAACTACATGTCCTAGTTCATCGAGTGACTACATGTCTTCATAAGGAGGCAAGGTAAGGTAGTTATTAAGAGGAAAGCACTAAGCCAGTATGACTATACTGTATAGCACTTAACAGGAATATGAGAATGGAGTGAAGAAAGTGACCAGCCACTTCAGACCACTGGTTCTCAGGGGTCCCAAGTCACACATCACCCCTAGGGATCCCAGGTTTTCTCAGAGTACTGTACATTCTTTCCCAGTTTGGAGTTTCTTCCCTGACAAACATTCCTCCCCCTGGTTAAAATCCTTTCCCTTAGATTTTGAATATCTTTCCCAGGGAGCCATCTGCCTCCCCTTCAAGAATCACCGACTTAAACTATTGGGAAACGAATGCAGACCCTGCAAGAAGTAAGGTCGCTGCTGTACCGACAAGATAAATTGGGGTAGATACCTTCGCTAGAAATTGCAGATGGTATCAGTAAGCTATTATCATCCTAACAGTAGGAGTGGTAGTGAGAAAGTTGAGAGAGATTAAAAGAGTTGGTTCTCTTCTTTAAGTAGGCCAGCTCTAGCTGAGGCCTCACCCCTTTCAAGAGGTCGCTATTTTCTAGAATAAAAACTTATTTCCCCCAAAAAGGCGTGCACTATCCATCATAGTGCATGTCTTTACAGGCATTTCAAATTTAGGGACCCTTCAGCCTGAGTGGTAACAGAAATACATAGCCTATACCTGTTACCGATGTCTTATTTATTTAAGTAATTCTATATACTATACGGTCCACTACAGTACTGTACTTCAATTATTAATCAGTAGAGTATAAGTGTCAGTATTTTGTGTGGTCAAGCTTTTATCATTTTATCCAAATATTTCTATATAATTGTTGTTGATGCAGAACCTCTGTTCATTAATTTTACCTTTTTTTAAGTCTCCTTATGGAGACTATACTATGTTATAATTGAATTCCTCCAGTTTTACCTGTCTTCTTTCATATAGGCCTACTCTTTTATTAACTTCTATATTTATATATACAAACTGTGTATTATTATTATGATACAAAACAGTGAACTGTATCAAGAAAGTGGCAAATAGATTACAAATATCTAAGATATGTATTTTAAAAAAGTGATTATTGAGTATTGCAAACAGATTGAGGGATTAATAAAGAATGGCGAATTCAAAATCAGTAAAATACATTGGGAATGCCTATCACATTTAGGTGAATACAGTAGCTTAAAGGTGTAACTAGCAAGAGGGAAATTTAGTAACATGTTATGTTGAAAGACTCTTACAGAGATTTAAAAAGGTCATTGCTAAGGCTTTTTTGTTTAAAGTATGGGATTTTTGTAACACGCAGACTATTATTTTTTTATAAAATAAGTGAAATATTTATTTTGCAGGTAGTGAAGTTTTGTGATTCAAGTGATCATGATAAAACAGTGCCCACCAAACACAACGTATTATGTGATAAACGTAGCACTCAAGAAGTTATCAATCAACATGAAGATATGCAGCAGTAAGTCACTATACATACCAGTTTTCTTGCACGTTTCTGATTTTATTTATCATTTTTACAATACAACTTCATTATGACATAAAATTCACAATAACATGACAGGAATGAATAAGCACCAGACACACATTGGAAAGTGCTTCAGCAGCTTACCATTAACAACTCCTCCAATGCTTACAAGTTCAGGCCCTTGTGAGAAGCAATAAACACTACTCAGCAAGTACAAGCATTTGTATATTGAATTTGTTTCATCTAGAAGATGGTTTTGGTTGTGTAAATTGACAGGGTTAAACAACAACTCTATCCCAATATCACTGGCTATTATAAAAAGCACAGTAGTCAGGACCAATACTGTGACATTTCCCCAGAGCTAGAGCAATGATTCCCCAAGACTTGTAGTAGTAGGCATCTTGCAGTCTCGGGAGACTATGGAGATGCGCTATGGTTGTCGAGGATGGAGTGTCCTCTTCAGGGCACAAAGCCTGGGTAGGTCGATATGGAGGAGAAGCTGATACCCATGCAGCTGATCCCCCTCTCCACATTGCTGAAATTTTCTAATGAAAAGGCAAACGTCAATACGCTTGGTTCCAGCACCACTGCAAGAGCTGCCAGAACAAGGTTAAAGTTCTGGCAGCTAAGACTCACTAATCCCAAGACTAAAGCACTGTTTATGGAGCCTAAAATTCTATTGAAACAACAGGCATACACAAACTACTAGTATATAAGACTATACAAAAGGCTGATACAGATACATAGGACTAAATGCATTACAGCTTGCTACTAATACACTAAAAAATGCAGGAGTAGTATTCTGTATTAAAGTCATCTTTTAAAACATTGAAAATTCCAACCTGCAGAATAGATAATAGGAATGCTATGCACAGAATTAGTTTCAGAAACTCATTTAGAGACCATCTCACACAGGTACTGGCAATGTGATGACACAGACAGGGCAGCTAAAGCTGTATGCAGCTAGACTTGGTTATCTCTTATTTATTTATTATTATTTATTTATATATATACAAGAAGGTACATTGGGGGTTAAGAGAGAACATAGGAAGGATGTTGATTTTACAATCTTGTAAAGCCACTAGCACGCATAGCGTTTCGGGCAAGTCCTTAAACTAACAGAGATAATTTTAAGTAGATAATTTACAGTATAATTGACAACAAATGTTTATAGGTACTTTACAGCTTTACTTTACAGGTACAGGTAATTTTAAGCAGATATATTACAGTAAAATTGACAAAAAAATTTACAGGTCAACAAAAATAAAGATTAGAATAATACACAATAATAACAAAACATTATAATGAGCAAGGATTTCTAGGTACATTAGGATACATTAGGATAAAATATCAAGGTTATACATTGGTTCACTGTAGCACAATTTGAGGATCATTTCAAGGAATAATGCAGTAGAATATGCACTCAATATAACAACCATGATATCAGATGATATCAAAGATTACAATGGTTGAGTACAATAATATGGCTTAGGTACAAATATTGCCATAACTATTGCCATAACTATATGCATATCTATTGCCATAACTGAAACAAAAGCTCATAGAAGAGCAATCATTGACACATAAAGGGCACAAGGCACTAATATTAAGAGTTACTGTATAGGTTTAGAGGCGAGAACTATATGCGGATTGATAGCATTTGGGGGTAAGAGTTAATTAGGTAGTACTGTACTTAGTTCTGCTCTTAAACTGGTTACCTTGAGGTGCTTCCGGGGCTTAGCGTCCCCGCGGCCCGGTCGTCGACCAGGCCTCCTGGTTGCTGGACTGATCAACCAGGCTGTTGGACGCGTGTGTGTCACAATACAAGGGAATCCACTGGACATTGTGGCAATGTAATTGCCAGAATTAGGCTGGGATGTCATTACCATTATTGTACTGGGATGCCAGGTAACGAATCTCCTAACATTGAGCACTAATTCTAAACTCTGTGAAAGAGAACTAGTGATACAGTCTTTAGCATTATTAGTGAATTCCCAATTATAAATGATTTTAGACTAAATGGCATAATATTTGCGAAGCTTTGTAAACTGCATTGCATTCACTCACAAATATTTGAAGGTATTCTTATAGTCTGTGCTAGGTTTGTTAGTGTAAACTAGTAAACTAAACTGACAGCCTCAGTCCTTTGAGATGTAGACCTTAGGTGAATGTTTACTCTGTAGACTAGGCAAGTAGCACAATGCTGAGTATTTTAGAGGTTATTAACAACAACAATAACAGTTTTCCATGATAACTACAAAAATTCCCTTGGAATAGAATAATGTTACCTAGAACAAGATTAATGTTAATTGGGATTAATGTGAAGGTTTTTTACTTTGCTTAATTTGGAGTTAAGTAAAAATGTATAGAATCTTATCACAAGATTTAAGGAATATCAATTTCTGTATACTGTACTGTATTAGAATTATACGTCTATGTATTTTTGATAACTAAATGATTATTGTTATAATTAGTAGCAGGCATCCATCAGTCTCAGGAAACTATGGAGTTGCGCTCTGGTTGTCAGTCTGGAGTGGCCTCTCCAGGGCGCAAAGCCAGGGTAGGTTGATACGGAGGAGAAGCTGTTACCCATGCAGCAGGTCCCCAAATATATTGCAGGCAGCAGGTAAAATGATAATTATTATTAATATTATTAATGTAATTTTAGTTGAAGTATTAATAACAATCCTGTCTCACTGCTAGAGTAAACGTTTGATCTTGCTCCCGCAGAGCTCCGGGGAACACAGTGGCAAGCACCACCTTTTCAGTGGTTAGAGCATCTGTACCTGGCGATACAATTGTCTTCGTGTTGGACTACAGCGTCACCATGACGGATGTGAGTATTACTTGAAGCCAGGCAGAGAAGGACTGTGTAGAACTACAGTAGTGTCATGTATTGTGGGATAGCACGGAAAGGAAAGGACTATGTAAGATTACAGCAGTTCCATGGAAAGGGTGAGCATAATAAGACAGAAAGGGAAGGGTTATACTGGCCTAATAGGGGTAGTAGTATGAGTCAAGGGTGATAAATTAAGGTTTACACGGTTCTAAGCATTAGTGGCACCATAGAGAAGTAAACATGTGATAGAGATGAAAAGGATCGAGTTAGATTATAGTTTTAAAAGGGTGGAAAGTCATTATGAAGGAAGGATTTTATTGATGTTTTGATACCATGAATGTAACATGAGACAGGAAGAGATGGGTGGAAAGGAAGAACCCTTAAGAAAAATTATAAGTTTGTTTATAAGCAAAATGTCTTGATAGAAAACAAATGAATGGAGGGGAAGAGTAGGGTAATTATTAAATGCCTCAAGAGAGATAAGGAAGCAGCATCTAGAGAATAAATGGAAGGAGGATAATTGCAAAATAATTTGAAGCCCTAAAAATGTGACAACTTTTATGAACTAAATGAGAATGATATATGTACCAGTAGGTTGATTTAATCAAAGAAAATTAGGCACCTTATGACATAAATTAAGCCACTCCAGACCGACAACCAGAGCACAACTCCATAGTCTCCTGAGACTATGGATGCCTACTACTAAGACACATTAACTTATTGATTGGCAGACCCTCAAGCAAACTTGTGGACAAAGTTAGAGATGTGATGCCATTGGTATAAGTTCTCACCTAATTGTGCTTGCGGGGATTGAGCTTCGGCTCTTTGGTCCAAGCGTGCTTCTGCCATTTGTGATTTGTGCCAGGTTTGCTAGATATGATGCTTTCTGCCGGAAGCTGAAGGAATCTCAGTAGACAACTTACTGACTGTTGTCTGGTCAGTGAGTGCTTCTCACTTCTAAGTCATATTACCTCTATGTAACAAAGTTACCTATTTGAGTTTGAGATTCTTTACCTATGGAAAATCCATATCTCATTCATTTATAAATATTTACGTGCAGTCTATACATTTTCAACCTATATTTGATTCAGAGAGTAGCACAATGAAGTACTTAATTTCATCACCATAGTATCCCACCTTGTGCTACTAACTCACCCAGTACTTTATTATTTAGAAACACAATTACATCAGTATAATTTCTTATTATCATCACTTTATATTAATATAATAATTATGTGAATTCAAGTTTGTCATTTTAGACAGTACCTGTCACTACAATTGTATTTAGTTCATGATTGGCAGTTTCTAAAATGTCAACTCTAAAATTCACTACGTATTTTGTATTTACTTTAAGACCTGCCCAAAATGTGATGCATATTAGTTATTAGTGGCTTTGCAAAGATTGTACCACTTAAAATACCAACAAATTTACTTTCACAACCCCTGTATCTTATTTTGTGTGTGTGTATATATATATGTATGTGTGTATATATATGTATGTGTGTATATATATGTATGTGTGTATATATATATATATATATATATATATATATATATATATATATATATATATAGATATATATAGATATATATATATATATATATATATATATATATATATATATATATATATATATATATATATATATATATATATATATATATATATATATATATATATATATATATATATATATATATATATATATATATATATATATATATATATATATATATATAAAATACACACACACAGTATATATAAATAAATAAGTCAATACATATATAAATGTTCATTCCAGCAAATTGCAGTTTGTTCCCCAACCAGCACAGTTAGGTGGGCACACCTCTTCCCCCCCCACAATTATAAAATTGCACTCTATGAATACTACTAATTGAAGTGCTTATTGCAGGCAATTTCAAGATGGGCATTTTTAAAGGACTCTGTGATTCAGTTCATCATGGTCAAAGCATTGCCTCAAACAAGAGTAGGCCTGGTTATTTTTGATGGTACTTTATTGAATAGTCACCCACTGCAGGTTCTCGACAGTGTTGACAACAAGAATTCTTTAGTTGATATCATTAAAAATACCAAAATTGGTACTACCAAGAAGGATCTTCTAATTGGCATTCAGAATGCTGCGCAGGTAAATCTTTGACAATACTAGTCAATGTTTCAAATAAGAGCAAATTAGGTAGGGGAAATAGTAGCACAATTTTTCAGGAATTTTATCGCTAACCATATTTTTATAGCTAGGGAGTTGGAAGGATAGATCCTGGCTATGGAAATGATGCAATTATCATTGCTGCTAACAAGATTTCCAAATGAAATATTACTGTACCTTGTACTTGACAGTAGAGAGCAGTACAATCAACCCATGCTCTACTCAAGGAATTCGTTCCTGATAATCGTGTCCCTTCACTCTTCTGTCTTCCAGCGACATGAGGTTTAATTTCTGTAGCCTTTCATACCAAGAATGATTGAGGGCCACAGGACTAACAACACTGCAAACCAGACATTACAGGGCTGATCTCATCAAAGCTTTTAAAAACCTGTATTGAACAATTTGGAGGGCATTGATCCAGACAACTTCTTTAAAAGATCAGATGTAACACAAACAAGGAGCAATGGTTTCAAGCTCAAGCCACAATGCAGGACAGAAAACAGGAGATGCTGTTTCACCTATAGAGTTATAAACCCACGGAACTACCTGCCCACCGAATCCATAAATGCCAAAACACTACTGCAATTTAAGTTCCAGCTAGACTCCCAAAAGCTTTTGATACAGTTCCACACAAAAGACAAATGCACAAGATGGAGAGATGCTGGGACAGGATAGGCACTGGACTGGGTACAGGAGTACTAAATAGACAAGAAACAAAGGGTCATATTAAGAGAAGATATGTCAGGCTGGAGAGGAAGTGTGACAAGTGTGAGGAGAGGAAGTTCTCAAAGTGTGGCACTGGGGCAAACCCTGACTGTGGCTTATGATGCTCCCTGACAAACGAGCATCTTTTATAGATTATGTATGTGCTATATGTGGGTTCTGATTTACCTGAGAGCCACTAACACTAGTGGCCTTGATGAGGACAGGAAGCTGGGGGCTTGTCAAAGGTCCCCACCCCCCATTTACCTTGATGATCTTTTCCAGCTTTACTTTAAATGTTAACAGAGTTTTGGTATTTACGGCTTCAACAGGTAGGTGGTTCCATGGGTTTGTAACTCTGTGGGTTCTATAGTACAGTGGTTTAGGCCTCGACTCACAGTCAAGGTTCCTGGGTTTAGTCTCCAGGGTGGGACAGAAATAGTTGGGCACGTTTCCTTTCACCTAATGCATCTGTCCATCTAGCAGTGAATAGATACCCAGGAGTTAGACAACTGTTGTGGGTTGCATCCTGGGGAAGGTTAGTAGTTGACTAAGGGAGACCTCGATAAGCTTGAATACAAACTCCCTGTCTGTAACAATGGGAATTATATCATGTCTTACCTAATAGAGATGCCTAACAATAAAAAAAAATTAAATATTAATTTTTAAAAATTTAGATTGATGGTTTTTCATTTTAATATACATGATAGGGATTATTTTGTGATTTGTTGTCCAGAAATATAATATAACTTTTTCTTCTCAACTAGATACTGCAAAATGAAAATGGCATGATTGTTCTTGTGACAGAGAATTTAGAAGTCTATCCGCCGAATCCAGACCTTGTAGCTGCAGCTCAGGGACACCAAGTGTGGCCTATCTTGTACCCCAACGATCCTGCATTCTCCAAACAGGCATACCAGGACTTGGCAGACATTATACCTGGTACCCCTGTTCTTATTATCAATAACACATTAAACAACCCTTGTCCCACTTGTGGTGTGTATCAATCGGTGGACAATTATGCAGCTCTAACTGAGAATTTGCTCCAAGTTGGTGGAAATTCTCTTGTAAAGGTAAGGACCTTTATTTTCGTCAATAATGTTTATGAATTCCCCAAAGTAAGATAATCACGTTAATGTGATTTCTTTGTGTATCCTCCGAGTAACATATTGTTCTGGGTAGGACAGAGATGGGAACATTTCTTATCACCATAATACCTCTGTTTACTTAGCAGTAAATAGGTACTGTAACTGGGAGTTAGTCGGCTTGTTATGGGGTTGCGTCCTGAGGAGGGTCAGTGGATTGACCTTGGGGGACTTTAATGTAAAGCTAATGTATTTATTGTTATGACTGCTGTCTTGTGTTGTACCTTTCCCAGCTTTTAAGAGTCATTTTCACACCTCTTTGTATATACATGATAGCCTTTGATCATTTCAGTTCAAGCTGCAAGTATGAAAGCGGCATGGCTTAGGAGAAATTAAAGTTTTAAGTTTTGATGGGGGGGGGGACAGCCTAGTGACATTTTTCAATATGGCAGGTATGGCATTTCTGATTGGTAGCAAATTTTCACACCAGAGGAGCAAAGGCAAGGGTGCAGAGGCCAGGATGTGAATGAAGGACATGATTGGTGAAAAGTTGAATGAAGGGGTAACCAGAAGGCAACCAAACATCACATAACTACTGAGAGGTGGCAGACACACATCTCATTGGTGTGGGACACCTCACTGTTTCCCCATCAGTCTGTGTGGAAGGATGTACAGTACTAGGATATGCTCCCAATTTTGTGTAGAAATTTGTAGATGCACACCAAGTTGAGTCTATGTCAAGAGCTGAGGGCTGAGGGAAGATGCAAGGAGAAGCCTAGTTAGCCGCCTCTGGTAGGTGGGTCCTAATTGTTTGGGAATGTTGTGAACATTACAAGTGTGGTTATGCAGGACCATTCAGTGCAGAGAGGTTTGTAGAATTTCTTCACACCCTACTACTGCAAGATTTTCAATGACAATAAATGTGCACCAGAGACAGTTTACAGTGACATTTATATGACGTGGCAGTGTGAGTCTAGAGTCTAGATAACAGCAACATGTGATGTGGTAGCTAAGTGGAAGTGTTATACGGAGTGCAATGACACAGTGTTGCAGAGAGAACCTCGGGTCCTCGCTTACACACTGGTTACCTGCATTTGTTGGCAGGTAGATCGAATCAATCCCTGGAGTGTAACTCATGTCGTGAGACAGTGTCAGATTCACAGAGTTACCTCCACACTGTCCCCCTTATTATCTGGTTGGCAAGAAAAAGTTGTTGCAATGATTCTTTGGACCAGGCAAGGATACAGGGGCAAAGAACCAAGACTGCAGTGCAAGGAGTAAAGGAAGAGGTGATGACCACTTTTCCCCACCTCACAACCACTATTAGCAGCGAGGAAGTCAACAGTGGCAGTTTCTGGCCTCCTTGCATACTAGAACTCTGGAAGTCAGCTAATCTTTGTCAGCACATCACTGTAGCCGAGTCAGCCTCCTAAGGTTTCCCAATGTCAAGAAACTGTCGTACTAAAGTCCCCTCTCCTAAGCTACCAGAGGATACAAAACAGAAAATGGGACAGTATGTCAATTTTGTGTGCCGCTACCATTATCTAATACAGAATGAAAATTTTTGGCCTTGGATAGAGTACACGTCAAAATGTGACGCTCTCTTAGGAAGATGGGTTGGCTGAGTAGCTTCCTTTCCCCAACCCCTCTTGAGTTAGCTTCATTCAGAGGAATGATATTTTGTTGCACTTTATATGACATTGTTCACATTTGGTGGAATTCAAATTTGATTGCCACAACCTAGTGATGGCTTAAGATTTCAATTTGTGCTTTCTCCACTTTATGTGAGGTCACTCTTAATGTAAATGTAAAATTAACCGTGACAGCCTCAGTAACTTTTGTTTTTGAATTGATGTTCAATCCATTAATACTGTGACACTCGGGTGAGTGCATGCATGCATACAATCATGAACAGGCATTCTCTAATAAATATATGTATGTATGTATGTATGTACTGTATATGTTTATATACATAATCACCTACTCGCCATTTCCAAAAATGTGAGCAGGTTAGCTTGGAAGACTACTCTTAATATAACTATTTTTTGTCTTGATTTTACAAGCTTGTGCACTGTGAAATGGTGAATGATTTCCTCCTTTAGGATTCACTCCATGAGCTTGCAGATATGTGAGGTTTGACTGATTGGTCTGTAATTTTCTGCTGAACTTGTTCTGCCTTTGTTTTTTGGGGAAGATAGGGGTAACATTTGCATATTTTCAGTCTTTAGTAAATTATTCTTTGATAATCACCTCAAAGGCAGTAAGGAAAGTGATCATTCTAGACATTTAGGTAGGTTTCTATAATTTTATATCTTTCAGGATATAGTGGTCACATTTAAGGGTGAGATTTTCTTCTACCTGCATTTGATCAGTCATGTCTTCTTCTGTTAGCACAAGATCTAAAATACTGTTACCTCGGGTCAGTTCAATCATATGCTGTATGAGAACGGAGTCCCATATGAGGTCAAGAAAGTGTTCTCTTCCCATTTGTGATGTTAGAGTTACCTAGTCTGTTGTCTTGTGGCTAAAATCCCCCATTATAAAAGCTTGTGTTTCAGCTGTTGCCTCCATCACTTGATGTAGGTCTGTAAAGTTTTCTATTGTTGCTGTATCTGCTCTGTAACATATTCCCACTTATCTGTTTGCTACCATCTTGAGATATTGTTACACCATACAGATGCTGAACACACCATGTTATTTACTTATTTATTGATGATTGCAGGTACCCTTAAAGATGGAAGTCCTCTTTGGTTATCTCTTCTTGTACCCATGTTTTACTGATCCCAGTGGTGTTGGAATTCTCAACCTCAGTACTGTATATGCTCACACTGTGTCAAATTTATTTACTAGACTTGACATTTGTGTATAGGTACTTTAAACTCCTGATACTGATAATAGGGAGCTGAAAGATTATTTCTGAAGTTTCTTGAGGTGCTGTGTGGTACTTTTCGCTTCCATTCTTTATGGCTGCCAGTGTTTTGCATTTGGCGTGCTAATTCAGATATTGCTCTGGAGCAGTGTGTTTAAGTTACTCTTATTATGGTGTTTGGCTGCTCTCCTGAGTGTTACCTTGTAGTAACAAGGTAATCAAAGGTTGATTACCTCCTGTTGAATGCATTTGGTTTCCACGCAGATTTGCGTGTGGTATCTTCAAGCAGTTTAAAAGTTGCACACCCCAAGTGAATAAGAACATAAGAATAAAGGCCACTGCAGAAGCCCTGCTGGCCTATACAAGGCAGCTTGAATTTACATCCACCCAAACTTGTTCAAAATATACTCATGTACAGAATGTTCACCCAAATATATTCAGATGTTAATGTTAAGAGTTTTAGTGAAATAAAGTGGGTATACTGTATAGTACTCTAAAATTGGAATATGTTTTATAAATATAAAAGCCTAATTTCTGTTTTAATGTTTTGTTTCAGGTGACAGAAGATGAGTGTTCACCGCCAAACTGCTTAATGAAATTGACTGTTGATAATAGCAGGCAGTATAATCCAGATGCTTTTATTGAAGTACTTTACAATTTTGTAGTAAATAATTTTATACAACTCAACGTATATGATGAGGAAAGCATTCCAATGAACTCTTCTCAGAGTACGAGCAAAATCTATAAAATTACAAATCTTCAGGTAATACATGTAGCAATACATAGTACAGTCTGTTATAGTACATAGTACAGTCTGTTATAGTACATAGTACAGTCTGTTATAGTACATAGTACAGTCTGTTATAGTACATAGTACAGTCTGTTATAGTACATAGTACAGTCATACCCTTGTTATTCACACATTTTATACTGGTAGTTCTGGGTACTTGTAGTTAACACCACTATGTATTAGCACTTCCATTCATTACAAATATTTTCATCCAACATTCAATTTATTTCTTTACAAATTAGTCAGTGAACAGAAAAAAATAAACAAATATACAATTTTATCACACAAACTATAGAACTGCAGCCAACACCATGCAACCCTGTCACCTTTTATAATAATAATAATAATAATAATAATAATAACAATAATAATGATACACACAGAAATCACAATAACGTGATATATCAAATGAACAAATTTGTTTTTTTTTTTACCATGTTGTGGTACAGCTGACTAAGGCGCATCTGGGAACACTCACATAGGTTCGAACCCTCATCAAGGCCCTTGTGGATTTGTTCAATAATAATAATAATACTGTATTAATAATATAGACTAAAAACCCACACTTGTGTATTTGTGATATTTATGTAAGGAATTTACACCAAGTCTTTTGCACTCTCCTGACTGCTTTGTCAAGGTCCGAGTGTGTAGTTTTTTTGTTTTTTTTTTTGAGATATATACAAGAGTTGTTACATTCATGTACAGCCACTAGTACGCGTAGCGTTTCGGGCAGGTCCCTGGAATACGATCCCCTGCCGCGAAGAATCGTTTTTTCATCCAAGTACACATTTTACTGTTGCGTTAAACAGAGGCTACAGTTAAGGAATTGCGCCCAGTAAATCCTCCCCGGCCAGGATACGAACCCATGACATAGCGCTCGCGGAACGCCAGGCGAGTGTCTTACCACTACACCACGGAGACTGTTAGGACGAGACTTACATCTCAACGTCTAATGAGGTAGCTGAGACTTGCATCCCAATACCTAATGATATTGGATATATATGCAGGCGATGAGTCACAATAACGTGGCTGAAGTATGTTGACCAGACCACACACTAGAAGTTGAAGGGACGACGACGTTTCGGTCCGTCATGGACCATTCTCAAGTCGATGGGTATACATATTTGGATATATATATTTGTATCCTGGGTACAATTCTCTTATCCTTCTTGACTGCCTGATCATGTCACCTCTATTGCCCCACTGGGAATATCCAAGAATTTGCATAATGTTGATGCCTGCCACAAGGTATGATGTTTTAAGTCACTCATTAAGGGAAAGGGGGGGGGGGAGCAAATATAGACCTGTAGCATTGCAACTCCTATCTTAACCCCATAATAGAATCATTCCCTCACACCTATTCATCACTTCTTTCTTCCATCATTATATCGATTCTTCTAAAACTACAGTTAGCATTTTTGTCAGCAAGTGTATTCTCATTTTTCCACAAGCCTTAGTCTTAGCTCTCACAGGGTTACCTTATGCAGGTGTCTCACAAGTGATCAGTATTCTCCATGAATCTCAAGGCCCTGCTTTAGAATTACTCTACCTGTCTACCTGTATTTAACAAAAAAAATATGGGACATAATGTATTAAAAATCTTATCAAACCAAATTGATTGAAATAGTTTTTTTTAACAGAATACGACCTATAATGTGAATGTGAGTCGACCATATGCGATGTCTTCAGTGAGATGTTCACTGTTAGCCACACCAAATGATGGTATGAATGTGCAGGTGTGGTCTTCCAAAGGGTTAAGTAACCTGGACTACACCAAAGACTCTGTCCCCACACTGTTTGCAATGGTAAGAATTCCCGTTGTGTTCCCAGCTGTGTTGACCTCATCTGGTTCGGCACATGCAGTTTGTGCTGGTTTATGTATGATATTGGATATATATATATTTGTTTTGTAGCTCATATGTAACAGGCATAATAAACTATATTAATTGCATAGGTAATGAAGGATGGGCATCATGTATTATATGCTGATGTGACGGCTACAGTCACCACTAAAGATGGACCGAAGATTCTTACCCTGAAAGACAACGGCGCTGGAGGTCAGTTATGCTTTGGATAAGCATTCTAAATATTTATTTAATTTACTCGGTTAATAACCATCTCCAAGTTATTCAAAGTGGTTTTTACCTTTTCATGTTTTGTTATTTCCATAATGAAACATTAATATCTTTTTCCAGGCTTATACTGTAATGTGCAACTTTTTGTTGTTGACATTGGGTACTGTAGCCTCTTCGTGATAATTTTAAGGCATAACCGTTTTCCTGTTTTGGGGATTTTCATCTCTGTGGAATTTCACAGCTTTGTATATGCTCTTCCTAGTACTGTACAAGATAATGTGCTGGATAATTTTGGTTGATTTCAAAATCGGAAAATTCTTCAGGCAGTTTAATAAAATCATAATTTTGCAATTTCTGAAACATCTCAAGAAACTTAATAAAAACAATTACTGTATTTCAATTTGGTTTGCCTTTGCCTTATGATGATGTTATGTAGGCCTGTATATTAATAGCTACCATGCTATAATGTTTTGGCAGTTTGCAGTAAATGAGCATTACTAAATCTTACTCATCCCAAATAAGTCAATTTGTACTCTAATGGTAATGTGAATAATGAATGCTCTATCTTTATTCTTGCTAAAACTTCAAATTCTATAATAAAGCAGTCTATGCCTCTCATCATTAAGTATCACTTCAAACTGTTATATCTTTTGCTAAATTTCTTGAACAATTCACTGCTTGCTTATTACCGTATTTATATTAAGTTTTTACCCCCCCCCAATAAACAAAATTATATTAACAATACAATCTTGTTAAGCTCAAAATGCTCTGTATATTAGTGACTTTATTTAATTTTCAAGCTCTGTACCTACAAATAAACCACTATAATATGTTCTTATGTATATTTTATGAATACCGTTATTATTATTGTTATAATTATTACTACAGTACTTGCTGTTCACTTTGGTTTTAAGTATTGCATGGAGATTTTTTCTTTAGTGTAGTTGAATATATATCTACAGGCAAAAATTCAGGGGAGGATTAAGTATTCTACAGTATCTCCCTTCCTCAAAACTTAATGTATGACATGGCAGTAGTATTTAGAGGGGATTGCTGCTATATCAAAAATGAAATGGTCAATTAAGCTGGAGATAACATTAACAATTAACCTGGTAATAACAACAAGATAACAATTAACCTGGGAAAACTGGATCTTGCCTAACTGAGTCATTTTGTGTTCCTGTCTCTACTGTACTTTAGCATGTAAATAAATGGGAAAATTATCATTTTTCATCCATTGACATTAAAATTATTAATCAGCTAAAAAAACAAACATTTTCTTTAGAAAACATTTGAACAGTTCTGAAATGTAGAGGCTTCATAGATTGATGCTTATCTGGCTAACTTTCAGTGGTATTATTAAATAGTAATTTAACTGGCAGTATGTTTTACAAAACTGTAGTTATGTCATATGACCATTTCAACCAGTGAAAAAATGTATGCAAGATGGTGTCCCAATAGATAAACTGTTGCAGGCGATACAACTGGTTATGATGGCGTGTACTCGGCCTACATGGTGGATTTCAGTCCGCCAGAGAATGTTGGCATCATGGTGACCGCAACAGATAATAATGGCACAGCACGTATCCTGAGCTCTGTGCTTCGCTCTGCTCCTGTATTAGGCGAGTACTACACCCGATATTATTAGTATCATAGGACACTATTGTACCTTACAGACAGGGGCCAGATTTTGGAGTGTCGACTTTTGGACATTGATTGACCAGTCATCCTAATGTATCAGAATTATCCTGTGTCAGAATTCATCTAATGTATCAGAATTATCCTAATGTATCAGAATTGTTCTCACTACATACCTATCTTTTACAGTTTGGATTTAAAAGCCCAATATGAATTTTTATCATTTATAACACAAATCTCCCACATATAATTTTTGAAAAGATTTTACTAGTTGTTACGTATATTTCATGTTCATTAAACTTGAATTTTTCCTCCTTTTTTTGCACATAATTTTTTCTCGAACTCTTATCATCATCTGCAATATTTCTATTATCCCAGACATGTTGGTAGCAATTAGGGTAAGGGAGTTCCACCTAATGGGGTTAGGAAAGGCCTGGCCCCCAGGGGAGACAACTCCCAGCAATTAAAAGAACAATAATTGTTTGTCGTCTAGAGCAGATCACCTAACTCAGTGCACGAGGGGTGATGGAAACTCCAGCTGCAATTTACCTTAATATAATTTATTAACCCTAGAACCTCCCCAAGTACAACAGAAATACTTTACCACCTCGATCTTACGTTACCTCTCTGACTCCACATAGGTAGGAGACGAGATTTACATTGTAACTCGTGTAAATTGTGTAAATCCTTTAAATTCTTAAAAAGCTTGTGCATTTTATGAGTCAAAGAATGCAATAAATGCAGGGCATTTAGACAAATAGTCTCAGTGGTGTAGTGGTAAGACACTCGCCTGGCGTTCCGCGAGCGCTATGTCATGGGTTCGTATCCTGGCCGGGGAGGATTTACTGGGCGCAAATCCTTAACTGTAGCCTCTGTTTAACGCAACAGTAAAATGTGTACTTGGATGAAAAAACGATTCTTCGCGGCGGGGATTGTATTCCAGGGACCTGCCTGAAACGCTACGCGTACTAGTGACTGTACAAGAATGTAACAACTTTTGTATATATCTCAAAAAAAAAAAAATAATTGAATTTGCATCTTACAGGTGAACAAGCATGTTGTGGGAGTCAGCTCATCATCCCAGATGAGCTACTAGAGGATCCTGGAAGCTTCACTGTGTCTTCGGCACTTCAAGCAGGCAAGCTTACTGGAGTCCCACCTGATCTCTTGCCTCCTGCGCAAATCACTGACCTTAGGTCTTCACGAGATGACACGAATGTAATCCTCTCATTTACAGCGCCAGGTGACCATTTGGATCAAGGCACAGGTATGTAGGGCATTTCTTGTACTTGATCAGCATACTAATTTTCAGTCAAGGTGCTAACCCTGGTTTTCCGTCCTTCAGTTCCTAAGACATTTCTGTTACTATTGCTTTGTACAGTTATTGTTTTTACAAATTCGTACAATTGTGACTTATGACAACCCTTACTCCTACTTATACTCTCACACCACTCAGGCACATACACACTCTCACACCACTCAGGCACTTACACGCTCTCACACTACTCAGGCACATACACACTCTCACACCACTCAGGTATGCACACACTCTCACACCACTCAGGCACACACACTCTCACACCACTCAGGTACTTACACGCTCTCACACCACTCAGGTATGCACACACTCACACCAATCAGGCACACACACTCACACCACTCATGCACACACTCACACCACTCATGCACACACACACTAAACTGAACTTAACACTCTCGTAACTGAAAACAAGAATTACGAAGAGAGGCTAGAGGTGTTAAATATGCCAAAGCTAGGAGAGAGAAGAAAAAGAGGTGATATGATCACCACTTACAAAATTATAACAGGAATTGACCAAATTGACAAAGGGGAGTTCCTGAAACCAGCAACTTCAAGAACAAGGGGTCACAGATTCAAGCTAAGGAAACAAAGGAGCCAAAGAATTATTTTAAAGTTTCTTTTGCAAACAGAGTGGTAGACGGTTGGAACAAGTTAAGTGAGGCGGTGGTGGAGGCCAAAACCATCAGTTGTTTCAGAGTTATATGACAGAGTACTGGGAAGACGAGACACCATAAGTGTAGCTCTCATCCTGTAATTACACTTAAGCTATTACAGACTATCATACTCATGCTCTCTCTCTGTTTCTATATTCTGTATATATATTTTATTACATAATATATATACTGTATCTTGATTTCCTGTAACTCGGTCCACTATGAGGACCACGGCTGGAAAGGTCAGTCCCTTTTCAAGGTTTGACCACAGTCAATTGTGTACAATCCCTTTATCAAATATCATCTAGTGTCCTATTGGTCTCAGACTATTGAGATTGTACTGAACAGTATTGATATAACTAATCTAATTGTAATAATTATTATTGTGATCATATTTTGATAAATATTTGTTTTCTTTTCAGCTGCATATTACACCATGAAGAAACAAACGTATCAAAACAGCAGCCATGTTTATAATGAAAACATCACGGCATCAGAAGCTGGCTCACTTGTTCAGCACTCTGTCACCATACAGGAATGTGATCTTTTTGTTTTCACAGTTACAGCTTATAGTTCTGATGGAAATGAAGGCAAAATGTCCAATGAGGTTCATGAATTTTTCCCATGTACAAATTCAAAGTCACTCACAGCTGGTGCAATAGCAGGGATCGTCATTGTGTGTCTCTTGGGAGTTATCATTATCATCATCATAGTGTATCTTTGCCTTAAACGTGACGAGCGTGAAGATTTGTGTTTGTGGCAAGTTCTTACATGCAGATGCATTAAGAGAAATAAAGATGACCCCTCTGTATACAACAGCCCACCTCCAAACTCTGCACGGAGGAGTGATGTCATCCGTGGTAACAGGACTAGTGTCACCGAGCCAATCAAAAATATAAGTGATCTTTATTCCAAGCCCAACTTGGATTCTAAGAGATCTATCCGCCAGAGAAAGCCGGATGAAGATGATGGAGGCTTTGGTGCACATCGAAGACAGAATGAAAACTTACAGATGAGGGGAGTAAGTGATAGCAGCAGCCAGGTGTCATCCTCAAATCTATATACATCACAAAGAACACTGCCCATCAACCAGGTTGGCATCCCTCCAGCTGCACATTCTCCTGTTCGTGGATATTCCCCCCCGTATGGTTACAATAACACAAATCAAAGGCCTCAGTTATTTATGTCTAGTAGTGACTTAAAGTATGCTGGCCCTCAAGACAATCCTGCCTATGATGGACACGACGACACTGATAATTATGGCGATAGACACATACCTCCGAGAAATCCTAGAATCAACACTCAGGTGTAGCCATAATTACACTTCATACTTGAAAGCCAGGTCCCAAATTTGCACAGTAGAATAACAACATACTGGAGCAAAAGAACATATTGGAAGGAAATGCAAGATAGAACGAGTGAGGAGTAGAGTTGCTATAGGCACAATCGGAGAGCACTGTCTAAACGTCAGGGGTCCACAGCTGTTCAACACCCTCCCAGCAAGCATTAGAAATATTGCTGGATGAAGGTGGATGTATTCAAGAGGCACTTGGACAGGTTCTTGCAAGAAGTGCCAGATCAACCAGGCTGTAGTGGATATGTGGGCCACTTCAAGCAACAACTTGTTGGACCAAGTTATCACAAGTCAAGGCCGGGCTTGGGAGTAGAACAACTCCCGAAACCCTCTCCAGGTCATAGGATGTTAAGCAGTACAGTACTATGGTTAGACAGTAACCATTTGACATTTATATCTGCAAGTTTTAGTGCCGAATCATGTTAAAATATGTTAAGAGGAAAACATGTTTCACATTTTGGATAGTGGGGCACAGAACCTATTAACTCAATTTGGTTCCCCAAATTCTTGGATATTAGCACCTGAAAGTAATGCAATAGTAGATTTCCCAAAGAATTTGTTTTATTCTTTAGAAGGCTTGCATTAAGGTGAAATATGTGTACAAGACCTGTGGTATGTGTTTCAGAATAATATGTTCATTAAGCTATTGTAATATTAATAAGACATTCACGTTGGATATTGATTCTTCATCAACATGTTCACTTAGGACTTAACTCCTTCACTAATATGTATCTGATATTTTTGTACCATTTATGTCATTAATTTAATCATTTGGATTTGATGCAATAAATTTTCATTAATGATAAAATATAGTTCAAAAGTTTAACAGTGCCATGTACTTCAGTACAGTATATGTTAAGTAAAGCATTGGTTTTAAAACTTAAATATGTACTCTTCCTTTACCACTACTTAGATAGTAAGTACACTGTATTTACAAGTACTGTAGGTCTTTACCTGATGCCAACTTTTTAGACGAGATACACAGCTGGTATAAGGCACCAAGTTATAAATAACAATGAAAGTTCCCTTTGTATCTGTTGACTGAAATTCAGTGAACTCGCTCGCCTGTATATACACAACACTTTGTGCTCAAGTAAAATGTATATGCGGGCTGCTGCAACAGGTTATGTGTAACTCGTGAAAGTGGTTGTGCACAGATCGCAGTGATGGTAGGCTGCTTCTATTAGTACCCAAAGTCACCATTCTGGTTACAATAGTTTGGAAGCACACTGGTGCACTCCAGTTCCTTTCTAACATGGAGTGAAGGCCTATTCCTTCATGAAATTGAGCTGTGCTGCTTGATTCATTTTGACTAGGAAGATTATGTGAATCTTAACACAAGTCTTTCAGAAAAGGTGATATACTGAACTTGATGCAAAGTGACAATGTTTCTAGATGACTTGGCCTTTTCAATCCAGTACAAGTGCTTTCTTAGCCACAATGAGAATGATCTCACAAGACCCAGATAATGATTTCTGCCTGGGTCTCAAGGCAGAAAATTGTGCCTCGAGGAATGATAATTTGTCCCCATCAAATGGCAGTGCATTACTCTAATGGGTGCCAGTCACTGATGTTGGCACAGAGATCTGGACATCTGTCAGGTCATGTACCAAGGAGGGCAAGGTGCTCTCTGGGCACTCTACTTGATGCTTTCAGGCTCCGTTGCAGTTCCTGTAACACCCATACCAATAAATATTATTCATTCTTACATGATAATATCAGTCTTGAGGATCAGCACCCATTTCTTAATCTAATTAAAGCTACTTGGGAGAGAATGATGCAAGTACAGTATCAACTTCTTCAGACTTTGAGCCCTGAATACTTGTTTAGCAGTGTTGCTCATCATTTGTATAGTGTTGCTACTAATTGAGAGGTAAAGAGAAAAAAATCATTTCTAAGAGTGAAATTATTTACAAAAACTCTAAGTTTTCAAAATCAATATTGCATTTTCTTGTGGAATTCTCAAACCTAACAAGGCTTTTATTATTGACTTTTTTGTGCAATATTGCTTTTACTTGAGTGACTCCAACCTCAACACTTAAAGTTCATTGACTTTGTTACTACAGTATTATTATTATTATTATTATTATTATTATTACAGAACACTATTATATACATCCAAGTGGACATCCCCCCAAGTATTTTCTTGTGTGTAACGCTTTGTATGTCTCACTTTTGTTCCATTCAGTTATGAAAGGTGTCAATTATGTGTGTTAATTTACCTGTAGACATTGCCCATGATATGTCAGTTATAACTGTGTTGTAAATCATTAATGAGAAAGTTAACATGTAAATAGAATTGCTGTAAATAGAACAGATGCTGTCAATTTGTTAATTGATGTATGCATTCAAACTAATCTATGTTACATTTGTATTATCAAGAGCTTTATAACAAATAAAAACATGATTGTTGTTGTTGTTGTTACTGCTTCCATTACAAGCTGAACTTAAAAAAAAAGGAATACAAATTTTTTTGCAATGTGGTATCTCCTACATTTTAAACATCAAAGATTATGGGCGACCTGTAGCTCGCTATGAAGTGAAGACAGCTTACACCCAATTTGACAAAGTTCTGATTCCTGAGCTGGACTACATACAGTAGATGATTGGATACATTTCCTTACCCCAAATAGGTACCCCAAGAGTTAGGCAACTGTTGTGGATGCATCCTGGGAAAGATCCAGAAAGATTGTCCTAGACCAATGCTTCCCAACTATTTTCTTGGCCACAGCCCTATTTTCTAATATTCAAAAAGACCCCACCCCAGGTGGGTAGCAACCCACCGCTTAGGTATGCCGACGTCTGTCTCAGCCAGTGGTTCCTAACTGCTATCCATTCTGACAATGAGGAACCAAATCATTGGTTTCAAGTCGGCATACAAAACCCCAGAAATGCCCTGAAGCATCAAAATTCCCATCATTGGAATGTTTGCAGATGTTTGAAGTTGTGATAAGAAATTTTATGTAAATATAAGTGAAATAAACAATAAAAAGTGGGAATTCACATTAATATTTGTAAAACAAAATGGATCATTTCAGTAGGATGCCACCTTTACACTTCCGATTTACCCGAGGGCCACTAACCCTAGTGGCCTCGATGTGGACAGGAAGCCGGTGGCTTGTCAAAAGGTCCCCCCATTGGCCTTCTATATCCCTGGAGATGAAAGTATGCAAATAATCTTAAATTAAGAACATTATTGGGCAAAGAGACATGTTCTAGAATAACTTTAATGAATAAAAACAAATTAGATGCAGTAAAGACTCACAATGAACTTTGGCTGGTTTATAATAAAAATGTAGTAAAATATAAAATAAAAATAAAATTTGAAATTGAGCAATGTAGCCCCATTGCAACAACTTGTTCTAGACAATTTCTCTAATGCCTCATCATATAAAAATGGTAGCAATTTGTTAACCTGCTTGTGTATTTGCCATAATAGGTTGATTCAATAGGAGATCCGCCCCAAATTGCCAAAATTGTCTTCGTGCCAATAGCTCATTGACCCAGATGGTCAAGACAGTAAATTTTGTTTCCCATCAATCCCCTTGAATTGGATCTCCTTAATGTATTCAAGCTTGTCTTTCTGCTTTTGTATTGGTACCAAGAGCAATATTTAAGTACTATACCTTTCTCAAGTTTCTTTTGATTTAAATGATGATATATATAGCTATAAGCTACTGGCAAAGCGCCTCCTGATAATTGCTTGCTCATCTATAGGGATATGCTTTTATTCCTGCACTGCACACCTGTTTCATGAGACAATGTTGTGATAATGTTAATGAATTTATTAACATGAATAAAACATTTTTAAAAGAAAAATATGAAAGTGTTGCCAAACTCTACAATCTTCATTTCAAATTAGTGAAAAATATTAAATTATTAATATATTGCCTAATTAAAAAACCATTCCCACCACCAATCGAGCCCCAGTGCTATGTACAGTGCAATAGTTAAAGAAACAAAACATCGACAATATTGTTCCAATGAGGTATTAAAAAAGAAAAAAATGGAGCATTTGATTTTTTTTAATGATTTAATTTGACCAGATAACAAAACAAGAATGAAGATTATATACTTTCTCAACGTCATTTGAATACTGTCGCTTTATAATATCTAAGCTCTTCAATACTTTCTTTAATATCATCTAGAGCTCTATGAGCCACTTTCTTCTTAGAAGCTGCAGCAAACTCTTCCGGATACCAACGTCTGTAGAAGAATAGTGTATTAGACTAGTTAAATTTTTGTTTACAAAATTACGTATTTTGGAGGAATACAAACAAATGCAAATAGTATCCATATGCATAAATACATATAAAATCTGCTGCATGGGAATGATGCAGTTCTTCTAGCAGATAATGATGCATGCCATCCTCTCAACTGGTAAGTCTCCTATTGTATGTCAGGGTCTCCAACGCACAAATGACAGACTACTATGAAAAGCAGCAGCTCATAAATATCCACATTTTCCATTATAAAAAATATTATAATAAAATATTAATATTATATATTAATACAGTATTAACAATATTATAAAAAATGGAACATTTTCTTAACTCAGAGGAAGCATTTCACACCTGGCTGTCTGAAATGGCCCTGATAAGGATGTATTGCTAATGCATTCCCACCACAAAGAAGTTGAAAGCAGGGTAGTAGTGATCTGTATACGTACATACAGTACATGCACTTTTGCACGCGCGCACACACACGTGCACGCACACACACACACGCACGCACACACACACGTGTAAGTAGTATCCAATCTAAATGCAGTACAAAATTTTCGGCGTCAAAATCGACATCATAAAACCAAAACACACAGTACGTGATGACGCTCTCAGCGTCATGCATAAATCTTTGCCTAGTCTTATTATTCTTATTATCAAGAACTAACATTGTGAAAGTGTGTCATTGGGTTGTGTGCTCACCGGCAATGCTTGGCCTAATACGATAACATTAAGCAGTCAATAGGTCACAATAAGAAGGCTTAAAATTAGACATGCAACAAACAAATCTTAAACTAAAAGAATTGATAAGGATACGGTGCATCCTGGACCAAAACGGTTGTATAATGCAACCTTGTTTGCATTATACAGCCTTGATGAAAGTCCTGCATTATATGAGCCACCATTCGAGATTCACCAAGACATCTTAAGTTAGTAGGAACCATGAGCACTTGAACCTGCACACTGTACTCCCAAGCACACACCCTAAACTACACGGCCACAGCATTCTCAAAAGCAATGCAACCTGGAATTTACCCCAATCCTTTAGGAGTCCTGAGGCTTCCACTCGGGTTTTTAGTTAGCTTAGTTCACTTATTATGCACCTCCATACCCATCCTGTGGGTGGTAGTGGAAAGTGTTACAGAGGCACATAATGGACTCAGGGACTGGGGACTGAGGCCCACAATTCATTTAGCTAAGCAAGTTACAAAATTCAATGCACATCGTCACATCAACAATGAGCTCAAGGCCGACCACAAGTACAGTTTCTAATTTAAGCAACTGACATATCAATTGTGAAACTAGCTCTCCACATGTTTATCATGCACACCACCCCCCATCCAGTGGGCAGCAGTGGAACAGTCAGGGTTTCACGCATTGCCCGCATGTACTCTGGCTTTTGAGCATGCCGTGGCCAAATGGTTTAGGGTGTATGCTTGGGAATACCCAGTGTGTAGGTTCGAATCCTCCTCATGGATCTTACCGATTTTCTCATTGACACATCACATTAAGTTAATTACCATATTTAATACACTGTTAATTTAAGCACTAATGATGCAACTACAATAAATGTGTGCAAAATGAAAAGTGAATATTCCTAATAAACAGCTTGTAATCTCTTCCAGCACATCTAGACCTACTGTAGTGCTCTCAGATTTAAAGTACCTCACCTACACAACTCCTTGACTGTTGACACATCAACAATACGGTAGTGGAGGTGCTTCATCAGTTTAGGCATGTATTTATCCAGGAACTTTTTGTCCGAATGCACCGAGTTGCCAGCTAAAGGAGCCTTGCCTGTCGATATAAAAATTAATAGCTAGAACATATCTAAAATGGGTCTTTATACATGTTTAAGATATCAATTAAGTAGATATACTTTATGTACTCATATGTATATATATATATATATATATATACAGTACATACATAGATGTATACTGTACATGTATATGTATAGATATATATAATACATGTACGTACTCTTTATATACATAAAAATACTATATTTCTGAACAAGGTACCGAAGAATATAAAAGCATGATGAAAAGCAAGAGATAGAGAGAACTTTGAGAACGATTAGAGAGTAACCATTCTGGCAATACAGTAGTACCTTCGTTTACATATTTAATCCATTCCCAGAAACTGGTTCGACAATCAAAAATTAAACCAAGACAAATTTTCCCCATAAGAAATAATGTAAATTGAATTAATCTGTTCCACACCCCAAAAAAATATTAACTTTAAAATACATTTTATGCATAATACTACTCATTTTTTATACAATATGTACAAGTATATCATACCTTTATTGAGGACTCTTTGTTGTATGGAAGACAGTGAGGAGGGGGGGGAGGGGGGGGGGGGGGGGGAGGAGAGGTGTTAGTGTTTGAAAGGGAAGTCCTCTTCCATTATAACATCAGGCAATGATGCCATTTCTAGGGTACTCTCTCCTACATTTGGCAGGCATACCACTAGGACCTGGTTGTGGCTCACTACTTGCTTGTCTTAAAGAATCTGTCTATAGACACTTTTTTTTTCTCTACGTTTTAACACTTGTCTGTAGACACACACATCACACTGTCATTAAAAAGGTTAACACAATGGCTTGCTACAGCTCTATCTGGGCGAGTCTTTTCAGCAAAACTTTCCAGTTCTTCCCATACTGCACACATTTTCTTAATAAGGAAGGGACATCCTCTACTCACAACTATTTTCTTAGGTTGAACTGTACCACTGACTTTCTTGGGACCCATGGCATAATATATACGAACTTTTATGTTCAGAAATAAAAAGAAAAAGCAGAAAAAACAACGAAATTCTTCACAAAGAATCCACGTGCAGTCGTCACTAGGATACACTGGTAAACTGTGCCCGCGTCCAGAAGAACCACGTGCTCATCGACCTATACATGCCTCTACTCTTAAACAATTCTTATTCCAAGGCAAACTTTGTACCCAAAGACAAATTTTACAAGGAAATTGACTTCGTATACTAAAAAAACTCTTAATCCAGGGCATTCGTAAACCAAGGTTCCACTGTACCGGGAAAACAACAATGAAATAATGAATCAAAACACTTATAATGTCAATCCTACGTTGATTAAATAGGATTAGCGAGTTTTTGCCCACTGGGAAGCTGGAGTGGGAAATTAACCAAGATGAGTAAGCTAAGCAAGGATGTGGATACCAGTAAGACTGTACCTAAAATTGTAATAACAAAGCTGCTTATTGTATGCACAAGCCGATTGGAATGTAATAGGACTTACCCTTATCTGTGTGCTGAACAATAAACTGGAACAGCTGGTCCTCTGCTGCCGAGAGGGTTATGGTGCTTTTCCGACATGCTTCTGTCAACCCAGACTGTTGGTTAGAAATTTGTTAATAAATTACCTTGAAAAACCAATCTTCAGGAAACACAGCATTCATTTCTCATGTCTATGGTTGTAGTCAATATTTTATATAAAAGATTAGCAATGAAAAACTTTTGTGGAAACTAGATTGTCATTAAAAAGATACTAAATACCTCAAAGATTATCAGATTAGCTCAGAGAAATAAGTAATGTTCAATTTATTAATCAAATATAAAAACTTGTTAACTTGCAATTGGAGGAGTAAAGTATACTGATCACTTTATAATAAAGTATTGTAATAAAATTACAATGTTTACCATTCACATTCTGACAAAGTAATACTTCATAAGAAATAAACATCCAGTTTTCTTTTTAACACATTTTAAAAGATTTAATATTTAAAATACGTAAATGATACAAGAAATTAAAATGCACAACAAGACTTTAAAAAGTCTACAGAAAAAGACTATTGTAATGCAAAAAAAATAAAACTGACAAAAATTTGATATCCAGTTTTATATATTATTTTATATCATGTGCTGCTGAAATGTTATAACAATGATTAAAAAGATTACATTAGAAGAATTGCCCTGAAATATAACAATTATTATATATCAATAAATATTTAAAGGTAGACTTAAAAAGTGAAGGTGTGGGACTGTACCTCTCCATGGTGCTGTTTGCACCAATCATTCATGGTATCCAGCACCTTATCCTCAACCTTCAGTACAAGGTTGGGGCCCTCTGCCACAATATTTAGTTCACTGTCTGTCACTATCACTGCTGCTTCCATTATTTGTTCGTTTTCTACATCTAAGCCCGTCATCTGAAAAAATAACAATGCTACAGTTATGAAAAACCAAATTAAATACTTATTTCAATAACTACCGAACTGAACTTGTGAATATCGTATTCCCTGTTGTCAGGGATAAGAAGCCTCTACTTAAGCTTGGAAGCCTTTAGTCAAGCTTATCGAAGTCTTCCCCCCCCTCCCCAAGCCAACTGCTGATCTTTCGCAGGATGCAACCCACAAGTGGTCAACTTTTAGCCACCTATTTTGCTGCTAGGTGGTGAACAAAGGTATCAGGTGAAAGGAAACTTGCTCAACCATTTCTGTTCTGACCGGGAACTGAACTCTGCTCCCTTTATTACGAGTCAAGGACATAGACCACTGCTACAATATTCTGTTTGTGAGTATTTGTATACAGTATCAAATAAATGACTAAATATTTCTCATTCACCTGATGCCAAGAACTCAACATTACTGAACCAAAACCCTTACCTATCTTAGGCATAGATAATTCAAGTTATCTATCGTAAGTTGAAAGAGAATGTATGCCGACAACCTCTCAAATTCCATTTACACTTTGAAAATTCTTAGCCTAATTAATATTAACATATCCTAAACTAAATCTTACATAATCAAACTATTAAAAACTAATATAAATAGCCTAACAAGGTTAATTAGTTATCAAGATCAAAAACACAGTACACTGTACAGTGTAAGTGTTGGAAAACAAAGTTTTATGTGATGCCACAATCATTTATTTGCCCCTTTGTACATTATGTCACACAGCTTGTACCGTGCGTACTACAGTGTTAAGCGACATCATATCTAATAAGCTCGTGTGAATAACGAGCTGCATTTAGGATTTGTTTGAGAATGACTTGGGAGCACAAGAATGAATCCCCGACAGCACCGCGGTCATTATCAATGCTGGAGCTATAGTTATTCAGTTCATTATTCACATCCAATGCACGATTCTCAAGATAATAACAGCGAATGGCATCTTTACATTAATAAAACATAGCAATGATATCCTGTACAATTCTCAAAACATCACAGGAATTTAATTTTATTGCACGTCTTAATCTTACCCGACAAAGGTACAGTGAGAAGCAGCAACCTAACCTATCCAAACTTACATTACATTTAGTACAAGTGTGTAAGCACATTTTCAGGCACTTACAATACCTGAAATGATATGTATGTGGGTTTACAAGAATGCAAGAACCCTTATATAAATTAAATAAAAATATACATCTCTTACGATAATATAGCAAGATATTTCCTTACACCTGATACCTCTATTCACCCAAGAGCACAGTTACTATGGGGTTAGGCCAAGCCGGAGACTGGGCCTCACAGCCTTCCTGACGGTGGCCCGCCCGGAACACCAATGTTACCCATATAACTCATAATAACTATTATATACACATATAAGCAAACTCTATGACCATAGACTAGAGAGTGGCGCCTACCTCGAGATCCACCCAGACTAATCTTTCACTCAGTTTAGGCATCTTGGCGAGAGACATGATGGAGGCGTGGAGCGTGGAGCGTGTAGCAGCGGCCAGACTCAACACACGGGACACACTCGCCATCATTACTACATACACCACACTAAGTCACCTACACACACCATTCACATTATTATTTATTTTTTATTTACGTATATACAAGAGTTCTTACATTCTTGTAAAGCCAAAACATGCATAGCGTTTCGGGCAGGTTGTAAATAATAATTTTTCCCCCGGAAATCCCCGGAATGCGTTTAATAACCCCATTCACTGCTGGATGAACAGCAGCGTGTGGTTAAGGATTGGTGCCCAGTCAATCCTCCCCCGGCCAAGACGCTCGCCAAGCGCTGGGCGAGTGTCTTACCACTGCGCCATGGGGACTTTCAATTTAAAAAAAAAGGATTTAGTAGGATTTTGAAAGCTACTTAACCTAATGGGGCCATCTTGGTGCAAAGGTTATGGAGGGCAGACTCTAGAATGTCTAGTTTGTATTGTCACGGTAGATTCTGTCTAACATAAAGTTGATGGTGGTGTCTACACTCTACAGGGACCTCCGTAAATAGTGATTCCACGTCTAATGATGCTATGATCTCTTCTGGTATAGTGGTCTTCACTAAGTCTTAAGAAATAGGCGACTGATTTCAAGCTGTAGCTATTTGGTACATGTGGAGTCAGTATATTGTTTTTTTTTTTTTTTTTTTTTTTTGAGATATATACAAGAGTTATTACATTCTTGTACAGCCACTAGTACGCGTAGCGTTTCGGGCAAGTCCTTAATCCTATGGTCCCTGGAATACGATCCCCTGCCGCGAAGAATCGTTTTTTCATCCAAGTACACATTTTACTGTTGCGTTAAACAGAGGCTACAGTTAAGGAATTGCGCCCAGTAAATCCTCCCCGGCCAGGATACGAACCCATGACATAGCGCTCGCGGAACGCCAGGCGAGTGTCTTACCACTACACCACGGAGACTAGTCTTTCATGTCGACTCTCTGTCGACTCTCTGTCGACTCAACAAACGATTGTTGAGTCGTTTAGCTTGATTATACGTAGGTGTGGGGATCTGGCTGATGATGGGTCGTACAGGTGTGTTCCTTGAAGAATTATATGCTGTGCTTACTATATTAACCTGCAATATTAAATGGGATTCTTGTAATGTTACTTGTCTATTTGTTCTCACTGAATTTGTGCACCCCTTGAGGGACTTCAAGTAGAGGGGGGGGTAGAAATAGCCTAAGCTACTCTATCCCTTTGAGATGTATTTCTTCCTTATCTCAATAAACATACTTGAACTTGAACTGAAGACAGAGTTTGGTATAGTTCTGATAGCAGGATTTTGCTAAGTGATGATGGGCTTGAGACAAGGATAGGAAGCCGTCAATCTTTTCAAGACAAATGATCTTTTCAAGGCAAATGGTGGGGGGGGGGGGGTTGAAATTGAAATAAGTTTATTGAGGTAAAATACACATAAAGAGATGAGATAGGTCAAGCTGTTCTCACCCTGTTCAGTACAACGTGTTCATACATATATAGACACACATCACAAACAATAAACATATTACCGAACATTCTGAGTGATAAACATATATTTCTTCCTTTACACATGCAGTATGTTACCAGACGTACACACAAGTGTTTAAGATTAATCTAAATAAGACGAGTGATCTCAGATCTATATATAATAATTTGTATTAAGGGTAAACGCCTAACATGTAATATTACTTAATAAAAACACACGCCTATTTCCACATGTCTATTGTGTCAAAGTAAAGTTGACGTAAAAAGTATAAGGAAAGTTAAATTGTGTTCTTCTGCCCGAAACGCTACGCGTGTTAGTGGTTTTACAAGAATGTATAAACATCAATGCTATGTACTCTCATAAACCCATTGTACCTTCTTGTATATATATAAATAAATAAATAAAGGCTTTTGGGCGCTCATGTACTTGTGCGCTGGCTGGCGTTCACAACTGATCTAGTCTTCAAGGACTAGATTTAGTCAATCATAATGATAATAATGTTTATTTATATAGGGGGAATAAATTTCTGGGCACACTGATTAATAATGGGCATCATTAATAACCGTAACATTATATTAATTCAGTTTTTGTTGTATTAAAAATATAAAATACGAATCAACAACGTTTCACTCGGAGATACCTGAGTTTACCCGAGTGTACCTGAGTTTACCTGAGAGCCACTAACACTTAGCGGCCTCGACGAGGACAAGAAGCCGACGGCTTGTCGAAGGTCCCCCTATTTGCCTTGGTGATCTTTTCCAGCTGTACTTTAAAAGTTAACAGAGTTTTGGCATTTACGTCTTCGGCGGGTAGGCGGTTCCATGGGTTACTAACCCTGTGGGTGAAAAAGCATCTCCTGTTGTCAGTCCTACATTTGGGGCTTGTTGAGCTTGACACCGTTGCTCCTTGTTTGTGTTACATCTGACCTTCTGAAGAAATTCTCCGGACCAACCCCTCATTCTTATTGGCCTTGCCTACTTCACTATTTGACTTGTTATATGATGAGTTTATTGGATACGAGTCCTCCCTCTGGCATTTACTAAGCAGCCATTCCACTTCTGGTAGTAGCCTTAGTGTACATAGCTTAGTTAACTTCTGTGACTCTTTTAACCCATAATTAACTAAGTCTTTGATAATTGTTTACTTAAGGATTAAATTCACACTTCACAAATGTGTGCCGTGTGACTGACAAATGTGTCAGTCAATCATCGGGAAGAATGTACGATTGCGAGTTACATGAAAGTAACTAAGTTATAAATAATTGTAATTAATAATAATTGTAAAAATTAATACTAAATAATATTATTTAATAAATTAGTCCCAATTCAATGCAGAGTTTTCTTCCAAACACAGAAACTTGTAAATATAAATACAAGATAATAGATAGATCAATAAATAAATAGACAACTTTCAAATATTGCACCAAGTAATGGCGAGAGGAAGAAAACTAGACAGTATACATTACATTTGAAATAAATAATGGATGAATGGTAATAAATTGGTGTATGTTTGTATGTATACCAGACAAAGACCATTTAATGGCAGAATTTAGCCATTTTGTGGAAAAACTTTTATATCTCATATTATTAATTATAACAGTAATCGAAAAAAGTCATAGTTTGTATATACAAGAGATGAAACAGAGAGCTATGAGCTAGAGCGATGTGCTGAGTCCATAAGGAGGCCGAGCTTCCAGAAATACCTTCCTGTGATTGGCTGTTGCGGGGAATACCAACACTCTTTTATGAATAAAATTTAAACTAAGAAATAGGTCCTTGTGCACAACAACAAGGTTGTTGTGAAAAAGAACAACAATTTCTGTTTTGCACCTGACAGAAATCTCCATCTAACTGAATAATTTACTCGAATAAGAGGGCAGAGCAGCGTATCATTATTTGTGTCAAGGCAACCTCCAATAATAACGTCCCAAGTTAGGTAGCCAGCCCATGTTTCTGTAACACACGTTACATCCTGTAGTATTTAATTATCACTATATTAATACTTTTAAATACTTAACATTTCACTTTTTAGGTAGATTAAAGTTGAAGCAGAATGTCATAAGCAAGGATGGTGTGCTGAATAAAGATGATTTATTAAGTGGATGGAGCCTTTAGCTGATCCCTTCCTGTGATTGGCTGTTGTGTGAATGTCAACAAAGAATATCTACCAATGATATGCCATTTATTGTGCACCCGATACCATCTGTGGGCGGAGCTTGGAACCTCCTACCCGAGCACAACAACCCGCCTTATGGGTTGCTGTTTGGCTATTTATAGTGTGTTGGAAAAAAACTAGATGGCGTTAGTTGTATTTTGTAGGGTAATTTGTTATAAGTGTAATTTGATGTCAACAGATGGCGTAAGCTGTATCTTATGGCCACTGTTGACCAGCCAGTTGATAGTGTTCTCTTCTGCCGACAGATGGCATCAGCTGTGTTATTATTACTTCCGAATTCCCTTTAAACACTGATCTACAAATCCCTTGGCTTATGATAAGGTTTTATACCATTTATGATAAGTATTAGATAACTGGAGTTCCGCAATTACTTTTATTTATCAACTGTTTAGGATATCATCATATAATGTCTGGTTAGGACGTACTGCTCTCGATTGATGAAGATTAAGCCACCCAAGAGGTGGCACGGGCATGAATAGCCCGTAAATACTGCTCTCGTAATATTATTCAGGGGGGTGGGGGAACTATCAAGTGAAAGCGCCAAGCCATTACGACTATATAGCACTCGGAAGGGATCAGGATACGGATTTGGGATGGAACGGGGGAAAGGAATGATGCCCAACCTCTTGGGCGGTCGGGGATTGAACGCGGACCTGTAGGAAACGAGACCGTCGCTCTACCGTCCAGCCCAAGTGGTTAAGCGTAATATTATTAAAACAACAATTTATGCATATAATAACAGCATTTCACACTAAAAATACTTGGATATATTGAAATTTGGTAGTGAATTCCAATCTAGGAATCTCCTATGACTAAACTGTACTTTTTAATCATTTTTATGTACTTACTACTTATTATTAAATTATTAAGTACTTACTATAATAATTAAATAAATTATTTTATTTAATATTTAAATTAAATGATAAAATAATAGGTAATAATAAATCATTGTGTAGGGGGACAGGCAGCCAGTGTATATATACATGTTAGGCTTATACCAAGGTCCAAGGTGCCACAAAGGTGCCAAATTAAAGACTGGGAGCTGCCGGGGCGGGCCCAAGGGCTGCTGGCGGCCCTGGCCAGGCTGAACTTCCGCGCCCTTATAATCACCATTGTTTAATTAATATCTTCACAGGGAGAAACAACTGTAAATATAGGAATAGTTTATTACAACATACACGGTAAAGAAAACAGCTCGGAAACTAAGGAAATAAAGCTGCCGAAAAAAAAGTCCACTTCAAGTTCAAGTATGTTTATTGAGACAATTAAAAATACATCTCAAAGGGATAGAGTAGCTTAAGCTATTTCTACCCCCCCCCCCCCGCTCTACTTCAAGTCCCTCAAGGGGCGCACAAATTCAGTGAGTACAAATACACAAATCACAATACAAGAATCCCATTTAACATAGGTTAAAATAGGAAGCACAGCATATAAGTGTTACAAGTGAGCTACAAGTTACAAGGGAACAAGTGAGAAGGCGGTGGAGGCCAAAACCGGAATTGCACACTGATTTTAATGCAGATATGTCGTGATTATCATAATATAAAGATGTTAAGGCACGAAAACCTTTTTATTCGTTAAATTGTATAAGGCAATTAAAAAACCTAACTCACAGCCCCTCTGTTCAAGTCCCTCAACATGCTAAACATATACTCACTCTACACATTCTCGTGTGCTATCTACATGTACAAAACCCTTGTTCCTAAATGCTAATCTTGATCTGAAACTTTTCCTTGATAGGTGTAATAGAACCCATGAGTACCACACCAGAAATAAATATCTATTTGATATCCCCAGAGTCAGGCTAAATCTGTGTAAACACTCCATGCAAATTAAAGGGGCCCAGTCTTTGGAACTCACTCCCTGATGAATTAAAAAATTGTCCAACCTCTGCCCTGTTCAAAAGTAAAACCAAAAAGTACCTAATTTCATCCTCATAGTTTCCTACCTTGTGCTTCAAACTCACACTATCTTGTACTTCCCCAATATTAGTAAAGACTAATTAAGTACTTAATCTTTACCAGTATAATCACCCCTTTCAATTTATATTGTTGATATAAACCTTACCACAATGTGCTTTTTCACCTTACCATATATGTTAGATTAAGGACCTGCCCGAAACGCTATGCGCTAGGCTTTGCAAGAATGTAAAAATATCACTAATGTAATATCACCAACCCATTGTAACTTGTAAATAAAAATTATTATTATTATTATTATTAAATATTATTTGAATTCATGTGCTAATTATATGATACTGTGCCATCTATTTATTCATATTCTTAACTTATTATCAACTTCCGTTGCCTCGATTTTGGTCATAATACTGTCTTCCTACCTTTCCCCTATAATGTCAACCCATGTCTGTTATTTTTAAACAATGCTGTTTGTCGACCAAATTGTATTTTTGCTGTTTTTCTGCCATGTTCCCCCCTTTTTTATATTTTAAACTCAACACATTTTATACTTTATTCTCAATTAGTATTAAGTTTCAGTCTGTAGTGTTTTTCCTGCCCGAAACGCTCTGCGTAATAGTGGCTTTAGGCATTGTATGTACTAGCTCTATCTATAAATTCATCAATATTTGTATCACCCCTTGTATGTATGTACTTTACCTGAATAAACATTTGAATTTGAATTTGAACCTTACCTATAAATATAGGTTAGGTTAGGTTAGGTAGGGTTGGTTAGGTTCGGTCATATATCTACGTTAATTTTAACTCCTATAAAAAAAAATTGACCTCATACATAGAGAAAAGGGTTGCTTTATCATTTCATAAGAAAAAAACTATAGTAAATATATTAATTCAGGAAAACTTGGCTTATTAGGCAAATCGGGCCTTGAATAGTAGGCTGAGAAGTGAGTTCTGGCTACTAGGTACGACATATATATATATATATATATATATATATATATATATATATATATATTTACAGGCTGTACAGGCTGACTCCTGCTCTCCCAGGGTACAGGCTGACTCCTGCTCTCTCAGAGTACAGGCTGACTCCTGCTCTCTCAGAGTACAGACTGACTCCTGCTCTCCCAGGGTACAGGCTGACTCCTGCTCTCCCAGAGTACAGGCTGACTCCTGCTCTCCCAGGGTACAGGCTGACTCCTGCTCTCCCAGGGTACAGGCTGACTCCTGCTCTCCCAGGGTACAGGCTGACTCCTGCTCTTCCAGGGTACAGACGGGCGGCTGGCTGTACCCTGCTGGAAGACTTTGTTTACATTTTTGCCCCAGTGGGCTAGAATTTAGAGGGGGCTTAGGCTACTTTTGCCCGAAACGCTATGCGTGCTAATGGCTTTACAAGAATGTTAATTCAACTTATTTTCTATATTCTCTGTTAACTCCCAATGCAACTTGTTGTATATAAATAAATAAATTTTCCCGTTTGGCCGCGACTTTGTTCGATTAATGCCTTATCGTCTGGAGTCATGGCTGTCGATAAGAGCAGCGCTCAAAGTGCAGAACTGTAGTAGACAGCTTAATTATCCCCAACTCCGTTTCCTCATTAATAGCTTATAATCAAATTGTAACGTGCTTAGATCTCTGAAGATAGACATCGATATATAGGAGGACACAGTGTGTATTACTGTGGTTCCCTCACACATCAGCCCGTTCTCTCGAGTTGTCACAACAGACAGAAAATGATGTATTAAATTGTCTCGAACTCCCCAGCGTTCGGGGAGTTCGTCTGATTCTGAACGTCTGATTCCTCTGCCATCGCTAGTTTAATTTGTTGTTGCTCCTATGTGGGCATCCACAACGGGGTCTACCCATTAGGTAGGAACAAAGCCAATTCACCAGCTCAAACTACCACCACCACCAACCCCAACTCATCACCACGACCAGCCCACCACAGTATCCTGTAAGGCGTGTCTATTAAAAGCTTCACATGTAATTAGTTTCATCGTCACTCTGGATCGTTCGTACACGATCCAGCATCTAACAGGAATCTCACCATCCGACCACAAATCCGGAGCAGTGTGCGAACGCTGTTACCGGTAATGAACTGTCAGACTGCTGAACCAGTTGTGTCTAGAGCTCAGTAGATGGCCGGTGATTATCTAGAGACTCGCGGATCCAATTAACACGATTTTGAGGTTGAAGAGAATGAGTTTAGGTTTTTAGAACACACAATTCTGAGGGCCTTAGAAAACGGGATTTTGAAATTAAATAAAATAACTTGGTAACGAACAAGGATTAAGTTAAATATACAATATATTTAGTTTTATACCGGGATTTAGGCTTTAAAGATAGCATTGTGAAGATCATTGTTATAGAAAATGAAATGAAGAAGCTTCAATAATGACAACTTTAAAATTTGGAATGCAGACATTAACAAAACAGAGTATGTAGCACAGATTAAGAAGATAATGATAAATAAATGCAAAAGATGTACAGTAATCATTATGCAGCAGCTATAATGTCTGGATCTCCGGAATGGTCTACAAATTTCAATAACTTTGACCCACTTAAACAATGACACAACAGAAGAACAGAGGTATTCAATTTAATACCCATATGCTTTGGAAATAGGATTTCAGGTTTCAAAAGAGCAGAGAAACTGTCAACATTGTGGAGAAATGGCCGACAGAATACTAGAATTATACTATCGTTGACAATAATCACATCGTTGAATTAATTAATATCATAATGTACTTCAGGCATTGTCACGGGTTATTTCAAATCTGAAATGCACTTTTATTCACAAAATGTAACTCCAACAGCATTTAATTATAGGTACTCAGTAGCTAGATATATTCCTAATACCTTAAAAATTGTGTTGTGCTTGGCCAGTTCAAGGGTGGCTCTTAAATTTGCGCCAATAGGCGTTTATTCACTAAATCAGTATATATGTTCAAGGAGCATAGGCTTCAGTCATGCTTCTTAAACTCAGCTGTCATCCACTGTTGATTCATACTAGCATGATTACAATTTTTTAAACATTGCATTTTTGAGTTATAACACTTTTTAATGTGATTTACGCGTATTATCGTCTTACTTTTCTATTAATTAAATCACAATGCAAAAGCACTACATCTCCTGTATTTGGCTGGATGTTGAGACTAGGCTTTAGGGTTTTCATGAACATCTCATGTGTGTTGGGGCTATAACATCAAAGCTTGCTAGTAGTGCAGACTATGTAAGGTAACGATGAGTAGAGAGTACTAAGCCAGTGTGACTCTATATCACAGTGCAGGCTAGTATACACTATAGACGTATATTTACTGTAAATATGGAGCAAAGATATATATGAGTTCAAACCGGAAAACGATTTTCTACTTATGTTGCAAAGACAAACTGAACTAACCTAACCTTCTTAGGCCTAATACACGCTATCTGAGGCCTAATATATATATACTATATATGTGTGATATATATACTAGGCCTGGGAATATTTAGGTTTATTTTTTAGGCTACATTTTTTTCGGACTATAAAGGGAATATAGTACCAAATTCTACTATCTAATTGCTTAGTAGGTCAGCATTTGTACTATGATGCACATAATTACAAAAAGATATGTTTAACACAGGATGAGGATGGCTTGTTAATGGGTTACAGTTAGTGGTTATCGTCAATGGTGGGAGGGAGCCACGGCAAGTGGTCAGTTGCGTCTTAACTGCCATCGGGGGAGGTTGTTCTCGTGTCCGTCGTTATGAGCACCGTCTTTACGGAAGTACAAGCTTTAATGAGATGAACAACAACCTGGTGTTCACTACTCACACCGAGGGGGGTGATGTTTTGTTTGTGAACTGATGAACAAATACGTTCTCGAATCATTATAGAAAAGGCGCGAACTGGATTGGATTCTGTGCTTTCGTTTAAATTAAGCCGCGAATCTGCAACAGACGTGAACACTTGTGCTGTAGATCAAGGGTAAAGAGGAAAGACGAAAAGGTAATTAGCCTGGAGGAAGTATGCCAGGAGCCGCGAAGAGACTCATTGTCTTGAACCAGACAGCTAGTTGAAAAGGGTTCACCATGGCTGCTGCTCTTGGGTCCTCCTGTGTGGTGATAGTGTGCTCGATCCTGGTCCACGCCCACGCCCAGCACCACGCCCACGACCACACCCACGCCCAGGATCACGCCCACACCCAGTACCACGCCCACGACCATGATGTTCAAGACAGCACCCAACAGCGCCAATATTTAGGTAAGCATCAATATTCTGTCGTCACCTCCACAGATCTCCAGTATCAGCTCTTGATACTGGTAATGGCTCAAAAGGGCCACCACTTACGGGCTATTCATGCCCGTGCCACCTTTTGGGTGGCTAAATCTTTATCAATTATCATCAATCTTCTGTCGTCATCAATAAACCAATAAGTCCCCCCCATAGAAATACCTATAAAAGCTTTGTATCTCCATCTTGGTTAAAACTACATCATTATTCCGTTAAGCTTCGTCAGTGTTCCGGAACACTGAACCAGTATTCAAGTAAGCTTCACCAATAAGCTTGTGCGTGTGTTAAAAATGATTTTTTTCGGGGGGGACGAGTGCGCTCCCCCATCGAATAACTGTCTTAACAGTTATCTTAACTTCCGGGCACCTATTTACTGCTCGGTGAACAGGAGGAATTTGGTGAAAGGCAACGCGCCCAAACTATTTTTGTCTCGTCTGGGGATTCGAATCCCGGGTTCCCGAGCGTGAGTCGAGAAGGAATCCAACTGTACTCCCGAGAGGTAAGTTACACTGGCAGATAACGGAATTCGGAGGCTGCCTCAGTGTTAATTTAGCAAACAATTAGCGCCGTGACGAACGAGGTATGTATGTAGTTTGTTAGCAGATAACAGCATTAATCTGTTTACTGTTGCGGTTAACTTTTTGTCTAAATTAACTTAGTCTTGGTATACTACTTGTGTAAAAGAGGAAATGTATGTTTATCTCTCAGAATGTTCGGTAATACGTTTATAGCTTGTGATGTGTATCTATGTATGTATTAACATGATGTACTGAACGGGGTGAGAATAGCTTGAGCTACCTCATCCCTTTGTGTGTATTTTGCCTCAATAAACTTATTTCAATTTCAATTTCAACTTAGTCTTGTTAGCTTAAATAACTTAGCCTAGTTAATTTAAATAGCTTAGCCTAGTCAGCTTAAATAAATTAGCCTAGTTAGCTTAAATAACTTAGCCTAGTTAGCTTAAATAACTTAGCCTAGTTAGTTTAAATAACTTAGCCTAGTTTGCTTAAATAACATAACCTAGTTAGCTTAAATAACATAGCCTGATTAACTTAAATAACTTAGCCTAGTTAGCTTAAATAACTTAGCCTAGTTTGTTAAATAACATAACCTAGTTAGCTTAAATAACATAGCCTGGGTAACTTAAATAACTTAGCCTAGTTAGCTTAAATAACTTAGCCTAGTTAGCTTAATAACTCAGCCTAGTTTGCCTAAATAATATAGCCTAGTTAGCTTCAATAACTTAGTTTGGTTTGCCTAAATAACTTAAGCTTAGTTTGCATAAATAACATAGCATACTTTGCTTAACTATTAGTTATTATGAAATAAACAAGAACCTTGCAGGAAATTTTGAGACTACAGAAAGCATTTTCTCTCTCTCTCTAAAGTAAGCTAAGATTTTGTTTAATGCTGAATACGACTTGGTTACAAGTATATCTGGCAGTTCGACTTGCATGGGATATAATTTGGGGATCTAGATGAAGTAAAGTGTAAAGCGTTTGGACAAAGACGGATTTAGATTTGATTTTTTTTTTATTAAGGTAAGGTACATACATTGAAGATGAGTTACAGACATAATGTTGGAATTTAAAGATAGAGCTAGTACATACAATACCTAAAGCCACTAGTACGCATAGCGTTTCGGGACACACTAAGAGTAACCACATTTGACACTGAAAGAACTAGGGCAATTCTAGATAAAACTAAAAGTACGTTGCATGAAATGACCAATAATTTTATTGTAAATGATAATTTTTTTTTTTTGAGCTACCAAATAATGAATGAGTATGTGGTGTATACTAAACTAGATTAAATATTTGAACATTTCTTGAACGTTCGCGGAAGCGTTTTTAAAATTCATTTCTTTATCACTTGACAAGTAATTGCATATTGTAATGTAAGATATATGATGTATTTTGCTGGCCAAATTGACATTTGGTCAGGGCCACTACTCACATTGACTCATTCACCCGTTTTGATAAATCTTTCCTTTATATTATTATTGACTTTACTCTGGAAATCATTGACGATCTTAAAATATTAATAATTTTTCTATAAATGCCCTACCTTTGTAATCTTTATTTTTTTACCTTTCGGATGGCATTTGATAGAGCAAACTGATGAGAATGGGTCCTATACAATTGATTTACGTCCTCGACTAAAAAGCGAGAGACCCTTGTTCAATCCCCGGGGTGGACAGAGACGGTTGGGCATGGTTTCTTTCACCTGATGCATCTGTTCACGAAGCAGTAAAATAGGTATCTGGGACTTAGTTAATTGTTGCCTGGGAGACCTCGCTAAGCCTAAGTAAAGGCTTAGGCTTAGTACCTGACAACGGCAATTATAAATGCACTAAAATTAGGTTAATGATTATCATGCCGGCGTGGCAGCTTCTCAATATATTCTTGTAAAGACGAGCATTACCCATACATAGTAATTATAACAAGTAAATGATTACAAGTAGTTACAACATGTAATTATATCAAGGGATTGTAACAGTTATAACAAGATAAGGCCATATTGTTATGGCGCGCTTAGCCACCACACAAAAACGCGTTGCCCGTTTTCGCTAATAATCGTATTTATTAAAAAAAAATTTTTTTTATTTAAGTGTTGTATCTACAACTTGCACATCAGAACGGTTGATGTGTGCCGTGGTCGCGCTTCCAGAGCTCTCACGTGAGAGTATCCACCGTTAAACTTAATAATGACAGTGAATCATATCTTTTGTGTCATCAGCCTGTTGCGCCTCGGATGGTGAGCTGGTAAGCTGGTTTTGTTGCTATATATTCTGGGCTTTCCATGCATTGTGCATTGTGCATTGATTCTTTATGTTTATTGATTGCCAATGACTTCCCCCAATTGTTGCTAGTGATTGTACAAGTTTTATGCGATTGTTAATGACTATTGGCTACCAGGAAAAGTTCTCAACATTCCTTGTTATCGGATGTGAATTAGATCCAAACAACTTTGTGATGGTGTACCTGTTTAAGGTGAACAGAGACATCAGGTGAAGCGATCGCGTTCTGATTCCCATTGATCGTTCAACGATCGTACAAGTTCCCTAAGAGTGATCGTTTGTTCACTCAACCCGTCCTCCTAATAGAACGTCGCATTATGACGTATACGCAACCTATAAGGCCAAAAATCGTCGTACTGGAAAATGGCAGCGGCTCGCGAAATTGACATTCTGTCCCGTTTTCTGTTTTGGGTCCTCTGGTTAGGTTAGAATAAAGGGGGCACTTTAGCACGACAGTTTCTTGACGTTGGGGAAACCTTAGGAGGGCGGGCTGAGCAGTGACCGCTATCAAATTGCGGCAAGAATTGAGGTGTAAACTATATAGCGGGAAAACGGTAGTTGGTCGAGATAACAACTTGCAACGCTCCATCTTCCGTTAATGGCCTCCTTCCCAACTCTCACGGGAAGTGGCGCACTCAGTACACTGAACAAGCCAGCGGGTTTTCTTCCTATTGGGGAGTGTTGTACATGCTGCTATAGGGGTATGACCACTCACAGGATGAGTGGCGCTGCCCAATAAACTCGCCCCTCCGGGCAAAATTTAAAAATTTAAAATTTCATGCGGGTATTAAATACACAAAGTGTATCACTAACGGAGTTTGGTAACCGTTAAACAGTTGTTGTTATGAATGTGTTAATGGGGTTGCTCTACTGTCATTACTAGGCTTACTGTTGTCCATCCACTCGGACTCGTTGGAACAGCGGAGGCCTCGTTTCTTGCAGGTCCGCGTTCAATCCCCGACGGTCCAAGTGGTTGGATACTGTTTTTTCCCTCCATGTCTATCTCGATTCCTAGTCCCCATATCCCTTCCAAGTGTCATGTAACCATACTGACCTAGCTCTTTCGCCTCATAATGACCGTACCATATCTTCCTACCATAACTATCTCTACTGCTGCTAGCATTACTACTTTTATTGCTGCTGCTATTATGCTGCTACTATAATAATAATAATTATTATAAACAAGTGTTTTATCAATATATATATATATATATATTTATATATATATATATATATATATATATATATATATATATATATATATATATATATATATATATATATATATATAATCTCGACATTTCAGGCTCAATATGTTAGCCTGTTTTGTCCAGCTTTCGTCCAGTTACAATCCTTGTAATTCCCTTCGAATATTCGCCTCGTATTTACGATGGTTTCGAATCTAACTCTGTGTAACCCTTAGATTACTAGACATTTGTCGTCACAACAGTTTGTTGACTGATGCCCCTGAAGCACTTAAGTGACTGAAGTTCGAGTAAAAGTATGTTTATTGAGACAAGAAAAAATACATCTTAAAGGGCTAGAGTAGCTTAGGCTATTTCTATTCCCCCTTAATGAAGTAACCTGCGTCCGCGCACCATCCAGGTGATGTTTTGTAATGAAGTGTGAGTGAGTGTCAGTTGTTTTCCCGCCAAATGTTTGTGAGCGAGCGTCAGTTGTTTTCCCGCCAAATGTTTGTGAGCGAGCGTCAGTTGTTTTCCCGCCAAATGTTTGTGAGCGAGCGTCGGTTGTTTTCCCGCCAAATGTTTGTGAGCGAGCGTCGGTTGTTTTCCCGCCAAATGTTTGTGAGCGAGCGTCGGTTGTTTTCCCGCCAAATGTTTGTGAGCGAGCGTCGGTTGTTTTCCCGCCAAATGTTTGTGAGCGAGCGTCGGTTGTTTTCCCGCCAAATGTTTGTGAGCGAGCGTCGGTTGTTTTCCCGCCAAATGTTTGTGAGCGAGCGTCGGTTGTTTTCCCGCCAAATGTTTGTGAGCGAGCGTCAGTTGTTTTCCCGCCAAATGTTTGTGAGCGAGCGTCGGTTGTTTTCCCGCCAAATGTGTGTGAGCGAGCGTCGGTTGTTTTCCCGCCAAATGTGTGTGAGCGAGCGTCGGTTGTTTTCCCGCCAAATGTTACTCTAGTGCCCGAGGTCCAGCTTAATGGAGTTGATGGGATT